ATAGATGTATTAAGCTTCCATGGACGCTTCAACATATGTGTTTATGGGACTGATAAGAAGATAATAGTGTGTAGCAGCCTACCTCTGGAATGATGTACCACAATGACAGGAGGTCTAGCCAGGAGATGTTTCAGCTGGTGAGTGCTCTGTACCAACCCCTCCTCATCCACCTGCCACAGTCGACTGCCGGGTCTGGCACAGTAGATACTGACCTGAGAAACACAGTGTGTGTTGAACTATGAAAGGTCGTTCAATACTACAACTGTTTACACTTTTTTGTTGACAATCTTTGGATTCAAATAATTCTCGGGACAAAATAATGGTATTGCTAATTGCGTTAATCACGGTTTCACTTTAATAAAATGAAATTTCGCTTGTTAACTAGGCTAGCTCTTTAAACGTTATAGAAGGCCTACTATAAACAATTTAATCAATTCGGGCTAGTTTGTATCTGGAAAGCATTATGAAAAAGAAAATCAGGCAATAACGCCAAAAATCCTGTTATAATTCTGGACAAAGTCTAAAAAATATAGCTTTTGGATAAAAACCTGAGCGTGGTAACACTCGTTTTTGACTAACAAATAGGCCTAATCTAAGTTAAACAGTAATGTACTTATCTAAAGCTAATAATGGTCATAACTTTTGAGAAACTACAATCTGCACAACAACCGCATACTCTAATAAAAGGTCTAGATGTGACTCTTCCCTGAAAAATATCAGTTTTTCGACTAACCCTCACCTAAGGGCACGAACCTCAATTAGAGGACGGCTGTGTTTAACTGGCAGCACAACTAGGCTGATTTAGATAATAACTTTTTTTGTAAGGAACACAGAATAAGACTGAAAACTGGAAAGACGAAAAACACTTTGTCTTAATTCTTTATTCGGTTGGAACTTACTGGATCAGTAGGCAGGTAGCACGCGCCGTACTGTCCGTCCCGTAGCTTGGTGCCGACCTGGCGGTACTGCTCGCGCGCCGTGTCACACACGTAGCACCGCGTGTACGATGACACGAGCAGACGGTCGCCGCGGCAGCAGACACTCACCACGGCGCTGTCCACCTGCATGAACACAAAGGCCGGCACGTGGAACATGTTCTTGCTCTGAAACACAGTTGATTATGGTTTGTTACTTTTAGTTATAGGCTATAGATCATTAGATCTACTCGTTAAGTTATATGTCACTGAGCCTAAATATTACATTAACCCGTTGGCCTAGTCTTATAACTAACAATAAAATTGCTTGTTTTGTAGAGTATCAGGAATATATTAACATATCCACTGAATTCCAGTAAATGTGCTTTTGGAAATCTTTTCATCTTATTATTTGTGATTTGAAAAAATCATGTTTCGAAGCATAGCAGAAGATAGGTTCCTTTACTAAGACTAGGTGAAAAAAACTGTCGGTCTATCTATGGCAATCTCGCCTTGCATGTAGGCCTACCCTTGGAATTTCATTCCAGAAACTGCATTGTATTCAATTATGGGATTTTGAAAAATAAGAGGGATTTTCTCTTTAACCTACTTCCTAAAGAAGTTCTTTATTAAGGAGATATAATGGTTAAGCTACGAGTCACAAGCCTTAAGTCCTTTATTCAGCCAAATAAAAAAATATCAGTGTTATGTTTTGTGATCTTTTACAGCAAGTTTAGCTAAAAGTCCCTGGACTCTTCAATTTCTCCGCTTTTCACAAGATTCCTTACCTATTAGACTGTTTCCTGGCTACCTACTGGGAAGCATCAAAAAAGCTTCCTCACTACCGAAAAGCTACCAGGAGAAAAACTGGTATTAAATAGGTCTAGGATCAATCCTAACCTAAAAACCTAATAAAGCAAAATACAAAAATCTCCAATAGCAGAAATTACCATAAAAAGAGACACATTGATGACGGAAAGTCTGCCTTGACTGTCCCCGGCGAATACTTGGTCGCTGTGCTCCACCCAACACAGCGCCGTAACATCGGCACCACTGTGCTCTGTGCTGCGGTTGAGACATCGCGCGCCTGTGCTTGTCTCTGCACGTTGCAGCACGCACACTGTCCCACGAACCGAGGCAAACGCTATCAGCTTCTCATCTGGAGATATGGAAACTCGGCTCACCGCCCCCTCCTGTCACAATACAATCTGGTTAAAAACAACAGAGGTTTATATTTTCAATTAGAATGTTAAGAAAGCTAGGCCTAGAAGCTGAATAAACATAGATAAAGAGAATTTAGATGGATGGCCATGATCTTCTTTTTTGATCCTATGATTTTTTTCTGTACGTCTAAGAATGTTAGAGACATTTTGAATGCAAAGTAGCTTCAAATATTTTTGAGGAAAATCATTAAGTTTAGGTCTAAATTCCCATTTTGAGGACTCTTGCAAAACAGTAAGGAAGTTGCAGTTGCACCATAAAATATAGGTAGCCAATACCTAGAAATCAATTTACTAAGTTGCTAGCAATACAATAACCAACTTTAAGTTATCATGTCAGAAATGTACGATAACAGGCCATTCACCAAAAATTGTAAACCACTTTGTATTTTTCTGCTAAAGTAGGCTATAAGATAGACTTAAACTTATTTTATACCTTATTAGGCAGAAGCTGGAGAAATGTACAAGGTTCTCTTCGGAATACATAGAGACCACCACTGGTAGCACCAAACACCAGGAAACTCGGGGATACATCAAAACAAGTGTACTAAAAAAGAAACTTTTGATGATACATTATGAATAACCCATTTAACTTAAATAGCCAACATCGACGAGTATCTTAAGGTTACTAAGTTAAGTTAAAGCCCAATAGGCCTAGGCCAAGGTCCTACAAACAATGGAACCTAATAATAAGTTATAGGTGATGGACTGATTTGGAAACTATTACAGCAAGTTTGGTCAATTTTCTTGGTTAACCCTTTCGCCGCCGCGGTCTGATATATTGGAAATCTACTTACTAAATGTTTTTTTACTGGCCACCTCTACGTCCAACGAAGCCACAAATAACACACCAATCGAATCGGCATTGTCTGGGCTTCATGTAGCAAGAGCTTTGACGGCCTTTGTTTGTGTTTTTTCTCGTGGTGGACGAGATTTCCCGAGATGATGTCGTCTGTTGTTTGTCAACAATCAACATCATCTGTGTGATCTGTGCATGTAGATAACTTCTCAAGACTTAAGTTGTTCTAATGGATTTTTAGTAACTAGTAAAATTATTTATTTATTTATTTATTGACCAACGGCTGACGCCAATACATAGAAGATTTAGAATGATACAATTTGAAGAAAAATAACAGCTGCAAAATGAGAAACAATTCAGAACAGTATAACAAGCAATAACATTTGACAACAATAATTGAACAATATAACAAATAACAATAAAAAGCAACAATAAAAACAAGTTAACAAACAGGAAGAAGGTTCGACGTATTAAATAGGCCTATGACTAACTTAAACTTGGTCGAAATAAGTTGATCAATATTAGGGTAAGTACCTAAGTCTTAGCCCAGGCTAGGCCTACCAAAATAAATATTGGGCTGTATGGAAGGCTACCCTGTTGGTAAATATTCTCTATTTTAGCACCTAAATATTATTTTTGTAACCATATAATTTAGGCCTACTAAAAGATAGGCCATATTAGGCCTATGGCCTGAAAGATTCTTTTTAAAGTGTGGGTGCATCCACCGCCGCTGACATAAAAGTTTTTATCTAAAGAGTTATGTTTTTGTTTTTAGTAATATGTAAATAGTATTGGCACAACCTATCCGGCATCGCTGGTCTCGGTGACGAAGGAGGTAATTACGGTACATTCTATGAATAATTTACGAGGCAATGTACAACTTAAACCATTTATTAGTTAAATTGTTGAGACAAATATAATTGATTAGGCGTAGTCTATAAATTTTAGTTCAATGAGAATCGTATCCAAACAAGGCCTAGGCCTACAAAAATTTAGGCTAGGCCTACATTAGCCAATTTAGTAAGTCAAAGTTCAAGGCATGTCGGGTGGATCTGTATTTGCCAGCAGAAAATACAATTAATACTGGACTTAGGGATATTATAGGCTAAAAGTTATAGATATTTGTAAAGTAGTTATAGCAATCCCCAAGCATGTACCGAGTAGCATTAAATAATGTTTAGTATCTTGAGCAAAATACGTATTATGTAACACAGCTGAAACAATGCCTCGAAGAACACCGAGATCAAGAATCGCAATTGATGAAATTTTATGAATAAAAAATGCAATGATCTAGAATTAAATAGGATGAAACATTACCTTGATTCTTTGTGTCGATTTAAGTGGAGAATTTACTGTGGAATAACTATTATCTGATTCAACTAATAAAAATTTTAAGCTAGCAGACGAATTACTCGCCATCTCAGTCGAGACAGCTAGAAGAAAACCATTGCTGCCAACAGCAAAAGCTCGCCATTATTTTATCCAGAACTACCAACTGTAATACCCGCTTAAAATTTTATCAAACGTTTATTGAATCTGGATGCTATAAAAAATGTTATGCACCTGAATTTATTCAGTCATTAGAGACAATTGAAGGAATGAATACATTTCTTAAATTTCATTACAAAATTATGCGCCTTACCATAGACTAACCAACACAAGGGAGTATGTTTTATCTATGGCCTTACTTATAAGGTCATTGAAAAAAAACTTTCACTGACGAGTGACGTTTAACTGTCATTTTTATGTAGCGTGGAGAAGTCTAATAATTGCACCAGTCAATGTAAATGAGAACCATAATCCAAGCCCATAAATGAAAGAAAACGCCAATGAAAACCAGTTGTATTATAAAAACAATGGTTTCATCAAAGTCTGAAACTACCTTTAGCATTTTCTGTAGTCAAGGGAAAAATATCTGGAAGAAAAAAAAGATCTCTTTTCGTTAACACCATCTGTTGGTTAAAATGAATTGAACATGTGTTGTTGTTATGTTTTTCTGTTTCTGTTTGTACTTCAAATTTTATCAGTATTCTTATCAATATTCTATTTAATTAAAAACCATGGTCTTTATTGCAATTCCTTAGTATACATGAAATCAGAATACAATAATCAATTAGTAATTTGAGGCGTCTCACTCTTCGTAATGGTTTGTTAGTCGATCTTTTTAGCATTACCTTTAGGTTTAATATTTAAGGTTATGTTTATATTTACTTTATGCAATTAGACATGGGCAACAACATTTACAGTTAACGATTCGAATATTATCTACGTTGTGATAGTACTGATTGTAGAGACCCCTACTGGCCCTTTTGGGCACTAATAAATATTTAATTTTTTTCAATTAGGTCTCAGACCATGTGCAGCTGGTGTAGGCCAGGCCAGAGGCCAGGCCTATCCTATTATGAGCACAAACAACTAACAAGCGCCTCTTGATTTAAGGAGAGTTGTTACATTTATTTATTCATTGTAAGTTTTCTCTTCACTTCGTTAGATGTATGTACTTACAACATAATCTAGGCCTCTGTGATATTTTACAGCATGCACTTCTCATTGTCTCCAAAACAACTTAGGCCTAGGTTACATACAAGAAATCTTGATTTGATCACTCAGAAACATACAATTTTCAATCTCTTACAAGAGCCATATGATCTTAGTCAGTAGAAATGCTGCACAGATCTTCCCACACCATTCTACATTTATCGTTCACTCATATTGGGTTAAATTACACACCTAGGTGGTGTCTTAGATTAAACATACTCTTAGTAGATTTCTCATCCTTATACCACAGCTGAAGACAATTTGGTACTTTCGTATTATACGGAGGCCACTTATTTTACAGCACGCTGCAGCGATTGTGTTATCAAAATATGTTTGTAGGACTTTCCTCGTTTCGTTATGAACCGAACGATACCAGATGAGTCATAAAAATGTATGATAACCCAACCTAACACAACCGCCGCAGCACTGTCTAAGCATTGGCTTCCTTATAATACAAAAGTACCGACAATTTTATTGTTAGTTCTGTCCGGTGTACTGTAGAGGTCATGTTATGTTTACAATTTGTTTCTTGTTATTTCAGTAATTTAAAACCTCGTTTAAACAAATATGATATAATCATAAACAACAATTTGTCCTCTAGTTATTTTGTTTGTTGTTGTACAAAAAACAGTAAAGCACAAATCATTAAATCAACCCTACAATAATAGAAACAAAATTTTGTCGATATTAGTGATCAAAGTCACTGAACACGAAAAACAAGCTTCAAAATTTGAAATGGGATGAGAAGTCTACTTGTATTGGTTATTCTATGGTAGCGTCCTTATCTCAATGATTAATAATTAATGTACGGTGATTTATCAATTTATATTTTAATTTTAAAAAAATGTTGTAAAGAACTCTTGTATCTGCCTTTATCATATTAGCCTATTGATTGTCACAATTGATAAGTTAGGGCCTAAATAGAAGGATTAAGTTTTCGTTAGTTCATCATTTGAATCAATGCTGTTGTTATTCAATCATCCGATAGAATAGGATATCAAAGTTTAGACAGTTAAACATGTAAGTTTTTATTTTTTTTTAGAGCTAATGTGCCGGTCTGCAGTTAATGCAAAGCCAAAATGGAGACTGCGGCTATAACAATATTAAAGAGAGCTGTAGAACTGGACGAATCCCACCGATACACTGAAGCCATGGTTTGCTACCAGGATGGTATTCAGCTTCTACTCGACTCTTTGAAAAGTAAGATTAAGAATATCTATCAGTAGATATTTATGTATTTCACTATTTAAACTAAAAAAATAGACTAGGAACAAACATATGTTGAATATTGTATCTACCTTCGCAACTTTTTAACAGTGTTTACCTGCAGACCAGAAGAGTACATTTAGAGTAGATTTATTTTTATAGAAATGGTCTTTTAGACACATACATATTTTACACTTTCGTTCCTTTAATTTCTGAATCTAGGTCTGAACTAGGCCTCTCAATCTTCTCTTATACTTTCAAAAGTTCCTCTTTCTCCGCTATGCTGTTTGCTCCCTCTCCTCCCCGCATTTATTTATTTATTCATTTAACGGTTATAACCAATACAGTGAAAGTACATTGTTGTGCATGCTTAACAGTAACAAATCAACTATGATCAAGAGTGAATATACGTGGACAGCTGTTCAATAAGTCAACCTTGTCCAAACTTATTAGCCTAATCTTTTCGTAGGTCCTTCTCCAAGGCTTCTTTAACCGACTTGTCACAAAATTCTATTTTCCCTACTCTTTTCGTATGTCTAAACAATCAGTCCTGCCCATTTCTTCTTATATTCTCTCTTATTATAGTACTTATCTTTACCTCTGCTCTTCTCCATCTTGATTAACTATTAATTGCCTTTTATTACATTCTGTTTCCAATACATTACATACTTCCGTGTTCCCAACTGGTAGCTACTGGCCTAATATCTCTTATACATGGGAGTTTTGCCTTATTGGTCAGGCTATCGGTATCTCATAGTATGTGCTTTAATGGGGAGCGAGCTGGTCTAGTGTTAGAGCGCAGAACATCGGTCCTGTATTCAAATCCTGCCAAATCACCAATGGATTTTATCCGAGTGATAATTTTGCAACGGCTAGGTCTAGTTTAAGGTAATGTAAAAACGATCTCGGGCTGGAGCCTAGCGTCCATAGACAAAAGTATGTGCTTTAAATTCATGGAGTACTTCACTTTTATCATAGGCCTACTTAGAAAATTGCAAAACCAAAAATATACTTAATACAATACATACAATATTATTTACCGTATTGTTCATTCGTAAAAACTTACGAACACTTACCTTTGTAAAAAGTTGTTTTTATTGGATTTTGAAGTTCTAGGCATGAACTAACGTTGATTAGTTTTTTTTTTATTTGTAGCTTGATAAAACTTAGCACCAGTAGTTAATTGTGACCGATTCTTTAGTATACAAAAAATTGGTTATTTCCACAACCTATTTAACAGTTGGTAGTCAAAGACCTTTATACTGTCTCCATGGTGGTAGATTATACCATAGATTATACATAGGCTACTCTTTGACATTTTGAGGTTGTTAATTGAAAAAAAAAACTTCACTATGACATTAGCCTAATATATTACTCTTGAAGTTACATGTTACAAAACTTCCATTTTCAGACAGTCCATTTTCAAACTTCAATATAATCTAATTTTTATTTTCTTTGTCTGTTTGGATTAATCGAAGATTGTTTTCATCCTGTGAATGTAGACTACGTTTTGATGTTAGCCTATTATGTTTTCCCACCAATCAATCAAAAACTATAAACCAAATAAAACAATCTATTTAGAATCCATACAAACTCACCATCTTGAATTATAACCAAATAGTAAAAACACAGATTGTAACATTTACGAGGAAGAAAGTGAAAAAAACGGTCAGCATATAATTTATAAAGGGAGGAGAGGGTTGGGTTGACTTGCTATCAGAAGGCTTCTTCCTTTACTCTCGGGTCTCTAAAACACTAGATTGTTTGAAAATGTGTATTAAGTTTAGCGTTCGTAAAATGTTATAAAAATTAAGAAACGGATCTCTTGTATAACATTTGTTCTTTTCATATAGTTAATGATACCAAAATAATATGATATATGCACAGATTATTCATAATACATACTTAATTTAACTGTTTGAGGTTAAAAATATAAATTTCTGCTAACAATTTTCTAAAAATGAAATAACAAAATTGTAGTTAGGCTAGTACTTCTTTTGAAATCAATATTTTCAGTTGTTTTGAATACCTCAGCAATCTTTGAAATGATTGAGACAGAATGTTATCTTATCTTTTTTCACACCTCAACATCAGTCAGTTGTTGCTTATCACCAACTGAACAGAATTGATTTAGCTAATCCAACTTGTGTTTTTTAAAGTGTCACACAAAACTAACTTGTGCTGTTTGATATACTAATATACTTGTACGTTATAATGGGGAATGAATCGTCTTCGGAAAGATCAGCTAGAGGTTTGATATTATAATTTTTTTTTAGTGAAAGTGTTTATGTTTAAGAATTTCACAGCTACAATATTGTGTATGTTGCATCAAGAAAAGTGTTTATAGGTATTAAATTTTAAGTTCAACAAATCCCTGTCATTAGCAAGTAGAACTCATTAACTTCTTGATCAGCATTGTACGTGTTATTAAATTTACGGGAAGTAAGTAAAAGAAACGCCTTGTAACACTTAAAACATATATTTACATTTACACCTATACTGTTACGGTACTCACAAGACGGTAAATATACATAAAAGATGGTAAGTGGTGATCGATTTCGTTTTGACACACCAATCATCATCAGACCTAATAGACTAATGATAAGACGTTTCTTTTATTTACTTTCCGCAAGTAGAACTAGTACATTTCAATTTGTATGTGGTTGAATTCACTTAACTGTTGACCGGTGTCCAGTTTAAACATATTCAACATGTTACCAGTGATCTGTAAAACTCCCTGGAACATTCTCCTTGATCAACATTTGGATTTAGCTTACTAGTTACTTGATGCTATCTTCATTATTGACCATCATAAGTTGTTATATTGTGCCTGTTATTATACAGACTGCACTGTTTGATAAAAAATAATATGGACATACAAAATTTATTTTAAATTAAAACTACAAACGAGACAACAATATGTGAAATGAAATGAAATGAAATGAAATACGTTTATTTATCCCAATATATACAGAAAGATACAGATAAATAAAAACAGAGAGCAAGATAACTATAGTAGTACAACTATAATTGTTAATGAATCTGCCATACTTATGGGATAGGCCTACATGGGCAGGTGCCTGTGCGTAGGCCTGGTTGTCATCAGTCTGCGAAATTTGGAGGGCAAAACTGAATATGAGAGATTTTTTTTTTCTTAATTATTTAAAATAAAACTGAAATGCGGTTGAGAATGTCGGCGACGACAACCAAAGCCAGTTCAATAACAATACCAAGCCAGTGAAAAACTTATACTTAAGTCTCTCGTTAATGAGTACGTCTACTCTATATACCCTGGCGATCATTGATTCTACGAGTCCCAATTCTTTTCTGCATACTTCCAATTGAGAAATGTGACAAATTGTCATTGTACATATTGGCTATAAGCTGTTATAATGCCAAGCTATTTTAAAACAGTCTGACAGCTGTTAGTTGTGTTGCAACAGGAAGGAACTTTGTGTCATAGTAAAATGCTGACACTAGTAAATATCAATTATCTTTTAACTTGACCCTTACACCAAGGCCACACTAAAAAAACAGGCCGTAATGCTCGTCAAGCATGACGTCACGATAGAACGATAGAATGACGTAATGTTTGCCGTTTGTGATCAGCTGCTTGTTTTAGTCTTTCCTTGGAAAATAAATACCTACGTCATTGCTGTCTTCTATCGTGACGTCATGCTTGACGAGCATTACGGCCCGTTTTTTTAGTGTGGCCTTGCTTACATTTTTTAATCTTATCCATTTGTCTCAGTATTTTTTTGAAAATCTTATCATTGTAAATTTGTAAGTTGGCTTTGTTTTATGTCTGTTATGGTGTGAGCATTCGAACATGATATGTCCACATTTAACCATAATTAAAATGCAAAAGGAGTTCTCCGTATGAGTGTAAAAAGAAGCAAAACCGTTGCTGTGTGCAATTCTTACTAAACTCAATGATGCCGTCAACTTCCACCCCAGGACACCCCTTATTCTCGGTAGGCCATCCCACTGGCTAAACCACACATTAGTAAGCTTAATATGGATAACCCTGCAAGACTTCAGCGCTTCAACCGTCAGTGCAATGCCTTAACTAACTGAGCGGTCATTTACTGTTAGACAGCTGAGGTTAGTGCTACTATACAAACGTGTGTTACCAGCGCCGAGCTTCGCTTGTAAAAAAGTCTTGGAGGGTTAAAGGCTCAATGAAATATTTGATTTGACGTAAGGTCATAGTTATAGTGTTAAAAGTATCCCAAGTATTAAAAATTCTTTCCTTGCAGGCATTTCAGACCAACATAAAAAGCAGCATTACAGAAATAAAGTGGAAGCGTACATGGGGCGTGCAGAAGTCTTGAAAAAGCACATGGAAGATGAACAAAAGAGGATGAACCATCATGAGCAGATTGTAATAGAGCATAACTCCATCGGACACAGTTACGAATCTGTGTTCGGAAAGTTCTTGATCTCTGACGTAAAGTCAATTCTCCTAGAGGATCCTTACATACGAACCTTTCATCAGGTAAATTGTTTTTACATGGGCTAAGTTCCTCTAAAGGTCTGATATAAAAAATTTTTTTTAAATAATTGACCTAAAAACAGTTTGGTACGTTTTCAAAACCATACTCTTATACATGTGAAGAGCAAAGAAGAGCTCGAGCAGTGAGCACACAATCCTAACGCACAGGGCACTGGGTCTTCCTCCACAGTGATCATTGTAGTACACGAAGGCGAGGAGGGCAGTGTTGGACTTTGCCCTAGACACCAGCAACTAGTGCTAGACACCACTTTAAGTGTACCATTGAGTGTTTCCTCTTTGACTAAGACCTGCTCATGTTGTTTAGCCAGAACCATTTCCCAATGATCAAGAAAAGCTGGGTTTAGTTTCAAAACATCAACAAGTTTCTGACTTTTCTCAGGATCAAACCGGCAATCTTTTTTTTATTTTAAAATAGTTGTTTAGCCTCCGGATTACTGTATTATACTTAAAATGGTTTACAATACTTGCATATATTAATCCTTTGTTGCTGATTTAGGCAACTAGTTTCAGTTCTTGTTTTGAACCATCTTCAGGCCTCAAGGTGTCAAGTGAGCTCAATAAATAAAACATATACAAAACACGATATAGTTGAACCTCTATAAGACGAATTTCAAGGGGTACGGGAAAAATTCGTACTATAGAGGTATTCTTAATAAAGAGGGTCGTTTTATCGAGGTTTAATGCTGCTGTTATTCTTCTTATAGAGGTTTCTCCTCGCTCCAAGGTTTTTCCAAACAATGACTGAGGAAGGAGGAGGGATGGGTGGGGGTTTCATGTTGAGACAAGCTTCTGTTTGTTTTGAAAACTACGTACTATGGAGGTTAAGATTATGCTAAATTCGTCTTATAGAGGTCACGTTCGTCTTGTAGAGGTTTTGTGCTAAGAATATTCGTTGTATAGAGGTTAATCAGTCCTAGCCCATGTCACAAACAAATTCGTCTTATGGAGGTTTTTAACTTAATTACTACGTTGTATAGAGGTGTTTTTAGCATTGACCTGTATGAAAGTGTCAAAGGGATTAAAAAAAATTCGTCTTATCGAGGAATTCGTTTTATCGAGGTTCGTACAAACGAGGTTCAACTGTACACAGAACGGACACACATTACAAAAAACACGAAGGAACATTGACAATCGATCGTGACCTGGCCGAGGTAAAGTCTAGACTCCAAGTCTAGGCAATCTTTTGTTATTGTTAACATCACAAATGTAATCTTCTGTTGCAGTGTCAGAACTTGCTGAGATTTAGTGAGCTGGCCGTGAAGAAATGTGCGAGTTTGAGAGAGATGACTGTAGTGACGTCGGAAGATCCTTCGTCTAGTGAGCAGCAGCGATTGTGGCTCGACCAGTTACGTGAGGAGCTACGGGTGAAACACAGCATTACATTGGCAGTACACTTCTCTTCTACGCTACACGACCGTCAGATCAGGTGATAAATAAATATATGTGTTTATTGTCACACAGACAGTTAGACAAAGTAGCGTAGATATTAAACAGGTTAATTTATTAAAGAAAAATGGAAGCCTTAAAAAGTCATTACAAATAAAAAATTACAAGCCAACATAAAAAGTTGTTTAGTAAGCTATACAATTTTACATCAATTTAAGTTTCATAAATTTACAATGCTACACTATCAATACATGTCCATAAAAAATCTCGTTACTCTTATAGTACAATCTGAACTGCAGATCGATAGCTTGGTGGTTGTGTGATTTTTTAAAGTAGGTAGCGATTATTATTTATGTCTCTCGTGTATTTATGACTATCTATAGTTTTTTATCTGTTGTTTAAACTTGACGAAGTCTATTGTAATTATAGTATAATGACTGAATGACCAATAAATTAATTCTATTCTAAATCTATTCTATTCTAAATCTATTCTATTCTATAGTGCTGCCTAGTAATGAGAAGGTCGATGGTTCGATCCTAAGATATGTCAGTAGTTTTTTGATCGTTTAAAACTGGACCCAGCTCCTTGATCAATTGGATTTTAGTAAATGATCCTGGCTAATTAAACAGCTGGTCTTAGTCGGTAACAAAGCTACACAAGGCATGTCACTTCATTCACCCATCCTTCACGCATATTTGGGTTAAAATACATACCTAGGTGGCGTCCCATTTCAACTAGCAAAAGCAACAGTTAATAGAAACTATACATTTTTTTAACTACCTCAGGGTTGATTCTTTTCTTATTAAATTGTTTTGACGTAGACATAACCACCTTATATTGTACAAAAAATTACAAATACCATTATTACAGGCTGAGTAACGGATGGATCATCAGGCTGGGCCGAGGGTTAGACTACTTCAAACCTCCCGAGGGAAAGTTCTGTTTGGGAAACTACGACCTCGACTGGAGACCATGTCATGCAACAACAATCGACATCTTTCACCAAGACAACGTCCGGACCAACGCAAGCTGACATCTTCCACCAAGACAACGTCCGGACCAACGCAAGCTGACATCTTCCACCAAGACAACGTCCGGACCAACGCAAGCTGACATCTTCCACCAAGACAACGTCCGGACCAACGCAAGCTGACATCTTCCACCAAGACAACGTCCGGACCAACGCAAGCTGACATCTTCCACCAAGACAACGTCCGGACCAACGCAAGCTGACATCTTCCACCAAGACAACGTCCGGACCAACGCAAGCTGACATCTTCCACCAAGACAACGTCCGGACCAACGCAAGCTGACATCTTTTATAAATTTCTTTGGGGGATGAACTCTTTTAAAGGAAATTCAGAGCTTAAAACTATTTGTTCCAGTTAAGTTGTACATCTGTCTTAAACTAATCTTTAGGAAGAGGATGCATAGAGCGCAAGGGATTAAGGAAGCTTAGTTTCTCAAATCTTTGAGCAGATATCAAAACAAGTGTAGGATGTAGGCCTCGAAAATGTGCTTGAATTGTCCGAATAAGTAACAAAAATAACAATATACTTTCCAGTTAGTGTCTAGGTGCAATTTCAGTGTTACGTAATTGGAAATGTAAACTTAATGTTAATGCATTAAAATACTAGTCCAGAACACACAATTTAAACAAAAGAAATGTCTTTACCAAGGTTCAGAATGTCATACTTCATGACGAGAAACAAGGAAGAAAATGTTAGCCCAAGATTGAGGGGTTATTCTGTGTAACAGTGTTGATTACAAGACTGGTTGAAAAACTGAGTAACTTACACGTTTTGATATATTTTTAAATATATGACACGTCTTAAAGTTACCAAGTAGTGAAACAAATTAACATGTCTTGAATCATAATGATTTTTTAAATCACATTATAAGTTACAATCTTAAGAGACCAAAAATCCTTTTACGCCTTGTACAATGTTATGACTTGAACTAGAGCATGTAACAGCGATTTTTGAATTCCAAAGGAAAAAGTAATATTTTTGTATTACGTCGTCTCCATTTCTAGTCAACTACAAAATTTGAACATTCAATCACCGTTACTGGTTGTGTCAGTTGTTGTACAACTGTGTATTGTAGTTGACTTACACCCTAAACATTGGTTGTTTACTTTGTTTATTGCTTATACAATTAATATTTTAAAATTCTTTTTTTTTATTCTAAGAAAGGCTTATTTGAATGATTTTTACGTTCTACCACTGACTTATGTATGCTTTATTCTTTATAAGACAAAATTAAACAATTAGGTTCAATTAAATCAAATCATGTCCATTTTTATCCTTACTGTATACAATGTAAGAGTTGTCCACTTTGACATTTGTATATAGTCAATAATAATACCAAACAAATTGAGCTGGATCAGTTATCAAATTTATCTCATTTATACAATTTATCCCGACCTTAACAACACCAATAGTCCTTTGTTTTAAAATTATTTAAGAAATGTGTACAAAAGAATTTAGTATTTTCTACGATTTTTATTTGAGTACCATTGAGTTTTTTTGTAGAAGTTCTATTAAAATAGTCTGACTATCTTATCCTCATGTGTTTCAAGTAGCTTATCTTATTTATCATTTGCCAATGCTTGTGACACAAATGAAATCGTACCAGGATTAGCTACGGTGAGACAAATGAAATCATTATTGTAGGTACCAGATTTAGGTACGGCCAAGTTTTCCAATTGTATCGATTTTTGCTGTCATGCTTTTATAACCCCAATAGGTAAAAAATACCCCCTGGGTTTTTTTATCAATGTAAATCAGCTGATAAAGACTATACAATTTTTTGTTTAAAACTATTTCAACCCCAACAGGCAGACCTAATGGCTTTACCTGCCTTTATAGTGAAGCTCCGCACTTAATAAATAAATAAAACATCAGGAAAACATATATAGTCAACTAGCAGAGTACCCGTCCTTCGTACAGGATTGGCATATAAGTATAAAATGCTTAGTACATACTCAAGCTTTGCATTTGCAATGAGGGAGGACAAAGTATGATAAAATTTGCTTCTTTAAATTTACGGTATACTATAGTATTACACATCTACCATAGCCATAATGTTCTACCACTTCACCCAAACAATAGAAAATAAACTATTAAAGATTCACAAAATATCACAAATCATTCATGAAACTAAAAACATAAACATAACTGTAAACAATCCTACTTTGACAGTCAGTTCTCATTGCGTATCACAGTTTTTTGTTACTGCTGAGTTCAAATTAGCTGTTTTCAGAAATGAAAAAAATAATAGTGCTGCACTCTGTTGGTAAATCTTATAACTTTTTATGATTTTGGATATCCATAGAACCAACCTTTTTAGTTGAAACAGCTGACTAATTTCTTGAATTCCATTTAAATGTGAGTACTCATAAGGTTAACATGGGAAACTCTAGAGCCACTGCTGCGGACTACTTACAATATTAAAAGTTGATTTTATCTTTAGTTTGTTTATACTGTACAAGTTTTCTTGTGCTCTTATATCTATCATAGGGACTACCAATGTTGTAAACTAATATTAAGAGTTATACATTATTTATTTTTTCATAGATTAATTGAAATAAAATTTGAAAATAAAAAAAATGTTTTATATTTTTATCCTAATTCATTCTTTGTTTATTGTTTGTTTTAGATATATTTATTTTACTCGGTAATTCACAGATTTTTCAATACACCAAAATGATTGTGCTTTAGTTTCAAATAGAAACAACTAGCACGGAACTAAGCTGAGGCCTCAGGGCATAAAAAGGGGATGAAAAATCGGATACAAGGAGGGCAAGGAAGAACAGCTTACAGGGCCACAACCACACTTGGTGCCCCCATTCGCTTTGGAGAAACCACGAGTTCAACAAGACTGTGTAGATATTTAGGATTGTATAAACGAGTATCTTGTCTCGTGTCATCTGCGTATTTGGAATTCCGTAGGCAACTGGTCGACACTGGGATCATAGGCTGTCCATATATTACGTAACATGTTTTTTGTAATTTTTAAAACCCTCCTTCGCCCTCTGGTGATGCTGCATAATACAAGCTTTTTGATGGTTCTAAACTGGACCCAGCTGTTCCTGATCATCGGGCTTTAAATAAACTAGCTATTACCTACCCACGGGGCGTTTGACATCATAAGTATTAATAAAACTATTGATTGGTTAAGTTAACCTGAAATAAACAAAATACAGTAAAAGAAACAAATAATCACACCTGATTTTAATAAGGTAATAAATTGAAAGAATAACAAACAAATAAGTACAGCGGAGGTATTTTTAACATTGAAAAGTTCCCTTTAGAAAGGAATTACGACCTTAAAGGGCAATTTATGATATAATGGATAGTTTTGCTATGATCCTGACTGATCAAACGCTGATCTTAGTGAGTAACAAAGCTACACAGATCATCTCACAACATTCTACACTACACCCCTCCTATTGTATTTGCTTTAAAATAAGCACCTAGGTGGAGTACAGTACCCATTTCGTTATGGCAATACTGATAATGGTAATCTAACACAACAAAATTAATATTTACTTATCTTATTTGCCATCACATTCACTCAGGGTGACCGAACCATTCTTACATGTATTTATGAATGAAATATGAGAGCTAGGAGTTTGTGTGGTAAGACCACAGATTAAAGAGTAGGGTTTAATCTGTTGAAAGAGGTTTTGTAACTAGAATATCAGTTCCAGATATTCTGGAACTAGTGTTTTCAACCTCTAGGGACCTCAAAACGAAAAAGGAAATTGGTCCCGGGTCCAGATGTTTATGAAACATATACAGTAATTAAAATGAAAACTGATATCAAAAACGTTTTTACCAAAAAGGATGTTTCTTAAATGTTATAATTTTGATACTTTAGAAAGATAGTAGTTTTTTTAGCGTGTTACCGTACGATCTTAAAAAACCCCTACCTCAACTGGTTACTGGGGCTAGGAAAATATTGACTCCACTTTAAATGTACAGAAATAGATTTTCAATTTATATTTGTTTGGGTTTTTGATTCTATATGTTTTATTTTCAATATTTTAATAAATTTATGTTCATAGATTTACATTTGAATGTATAATACGCGAATTAATGAGCTGATGTCACCTGTCTGCTACGTTATCTTATGGGACGTCTGGCGCCAAACAACACGTACTTTTGGCGTTGCCAATTCTACCAGGCCGCGGCCTGGAGTTAAAGGTGGCCGTGATTATACATGTAAATATCATATGTCAAAAATAAAAAAATATCTTTTTCCTACAGTTACCTAACAATGTACATGTTCTCTCACTGATTTGAGAAAGCAAAGTGGCCAATTCGCTCATCAGTGAGACAATGTTAACATTGTCTCACTCTAATTACTTTGTCTCACTCCAGATTTGCAACGTGAAGGCACGAAATAGTGAGCGCGTAACATGCAGGCAACGTCGTATGCGCGCGAAATACGTTGGCAGCACTGGCTGTAAATCAGCTGGTCAGCTGTTGTACTGTTGTATTTGTCACTTCACATTAAATGTTATATTAAAAGTTCACTTTTGTGTAAAAATAGGTTATGTTTCTTCACCAATTTATTTGTTTTATGGTAACTGTAGGAAAAGTATAATGTGCAACTCGAGTTCAAAGTACAATTGCCTCACTCGAGAAACCAATCCTCACTCGCCTACGGCTCATGAGTAAGGATTTCTCTCGAGTGAGTCAATTGCTCACTTTTCTCACTAGTTGCACAAATAACTATTGTATTGTGTCTTATATTATTCACACAGTATCAAAAGCCTTAATTACTGAGGTCTCACAAGGTAGCCCCAGCAAAATCACCTCACTCGAAGGGGCTAAAACAATGAAAAAGACTCTCTGCTACTTCAAGAGATTTATTGTACCATTCAGTAATAAATACAATAGGTAACGTCAAAACTATGTTAAAAATAAAACAAACCAATTCATATAAATAATGAAATGTTCACCATTACAAAGCATGCTGAAATTGGTATGCACAGCAAACCATGCAGTTATGGCAAAAAATACAAAACAAAAGAAAATGAAATTGTAACACATACTACAAATTAAAACAATGGCCAGCCTTCAGAGCATCATGCAATTCAACAGATTCATAAAAAGGATTCGTTTCAAGCCAATCTTTTACAATTTTTGTAAATTTTGACTTCCGCAATGACGAACACTTTCCGGGAGAGCTTTGTAATACTTTATGCCTGTAACAGGAAAACAGTTATTAGTTTTACTCAATCTATTGCTACTTAAATGTACATTGTTTCTATTTCTTGTGGAAGTGGACATCCTTGTTACAAACAAGATCTTCTTCCATGTCCCTAATAGCTAACAAAGATTGGTAAATATAGACATTTACAACAGTCATAATGCGAAGTTCAGCGAACAAATGCCTACAATACTCCAGATTGTGAACCTAACGTACTTGGGTAGCCTTTCTTTTGATGGAACAGTACTTTCTGAGCATGCGGGGAGTGACCCCACTGGATATCCACAGGACATCCACCCTGGATAAACTGGACCGGAAAACTGAGAGGCAGACAATAACCCATTGTGATCAAAATATGAACACGACCAACCAAACACAACTAACTGTTTTTTTGTTTACGCCGTCAATCTATTAATATAGAGTCAACAATATTATTACTCAAGCATAACCATTGACTATATATCACACCTGGCCATCGGGGAGATATTTAATCAATGGCAAACATAAATGTTAATCCACAAGCATGGAAAATATGGAAGGAAGTACTATTCATCATGTACTAAATATTTTTACGTCAGAGATACGTCAGATTTTACATTAGAATGATGATGATAGTTCTAACTGCAGCATGAGAAGCTATAAATCTGGACCTCATATAGTACTTATATTGATTATGATAATGCACGATATCGTTATTTAGAAGCTTCCTGGCCCTTTAACTTCAAACTCAGATGTTTTTATTAGTAAGTTTGTTTTTTCAGTTACCATTTTGAAAACGTCCCACGGCCACTCCACTACTCCCCCCACCCACGGCCACTTCCACTCCACTCTTCCACTACTGACTGATCGGTAAGTTAAGTAGGCTCCCAATTTTCAACATTTACTGTATCTGTATTGTTTAGTATTTTAAACGACACGTTAGGAACTATGTAAGTTACATGGCGTATATTTTCTTTTTAAAACAAATTCCTCGTTAATACGTATGTGAACTACTAAAATTATTTAACTTGAAGTTGACATCTGCATTTTCTAGGCCAAGGCTATTCCTGTCAAAAACTTGTCGTGATCCTTAAGGGCTATTCGTCATTAATATAAGGTTGCTCACTGGGATATTAGTACACTTTTCTAGGATAGGCCTATAAATCCAAGCAGGATTTACTGGTATTTTATTGGTAAGTTACTAAACAAGCGAACCTAATATTCAATTCAGGTACACTAATTGGTAGGCCTAGGTAATTTGTCTTAAAAAATTGAAGAAATGGATCTTGACCTGACAACTTTTTAAGTTAATGTCTGTAGAGGTATTCACAAAGTTTATTAGGCTATATTTATTATTTGTGAGATTGTCATACGATGGTTCAGATTCCACTGTCAACCGTAAGTCTCCTAAATGCTGAACTGTCTCTGAAAAATTATCAGCAGTGACAGTCTCCATCCTGCACACCGCTACAGGTTAAGACAGGCTTACAGAGTACTGGAGGCAACTTGTTGTGTCACCTACTCTCACTAGCCTATCAGTTAAATCTTGATAGTTACACAAAATATAATTATTAATTTACTCATACTTCATTAATGTAGTATATTTATGAACATAAATTTCAACCAGCTAAAATAATGCAAGAAAAGGGCTAATTTTTCTCAGGCAACAGTAGCCTAGACATATAGAAAAACAGTAGGTGTCAAATAGTTAGTTGTTCAAGTTTAAAGTTAGTTAGTTTTATAAGATTAAAAGTTAGATAAAACTGAAATAAGTTGAGAGTTTGGTTCACAGTTTTTGTATTTTCATAGTAACAATTATAAGTTCAAAACAATAACAAATGAATTATAACCAGCTGGCATTAAATATATTAATGTAATCCATGCCTTTGGCACACTCCGGGCGAAGGACAAACACTAATAATTCTTCAATTCTAGTGGATATAAGAGATTTAAGGGACGTACAACTTTCTTCTTCGAGCTGAGAATTACTGTAGCACTTCTTATTTTTCCGTCTCGACTTGAGTGAAGTTCTACCATCTTTCGCTTCTTCCATCTCCCACAAGGTGGGATTTTCTTCCAAACGTCCCAAGGTCCTTTCATAGGTGAACTCTCACTTTTAAAAGTTGTGTAAGGTCTTGTAGTAATCTCTTGTAAGGTCTTGTAAAAGTGGCTTGTAGTAATCATGTCGTCTGTTACACATGATTCACTGAAGGATGTGTCAACAAGTGGTCTTGAGTTTATAACTGCCTCAGACTTCACGAGAACAGTTTCCGATTGTAAGTAGTTTATTCCAAAGTCTTTTTCAAATGGGGTTCCTACGATCTTGTTTATGGAGGCATCAGTTAGAATACCTATTTCTTCAGGTCCATTCTCCTCAGTCGGCTCTGCAGGGTTACATTTCCACTCTGGACATTTCATTATAGGCCTAACATTTTCCATTTTTACCTTATCATTAAATCCACACAAAGCTATGGCGTCATCATTCTGATAGGGATGGTCGTGGATTTCTAAATTCTCTATGCTCCGCAAGTTCCTTACATTCAAACCCTTTACTGTCTGAGAGTCAGGCGTTTCAAAGTTCTTCTTCATTTCAAAATGGTTAGTGGGTTGAATTATAGTGTGAAAGGAGGATGAATATCCAAGGTGATGATGAATGTCCGTTTTCTCACTTAATGCTTGTCTACCGCTTACAATCCAACCAACTTTGGAACCGATCAGATAAAGACCAGACTTTAACTCTATTCTTTCATATGTCATAATATCTAGGTAATAATCATTCCCAATTAAAAGATCGACTTCAGAATCTTCATTCTGGTTTTTGGCAAAGTTCAATGAGGGGTAGAGTTTCTTGATTTTACTGACATCAATTGTAGTGCAAGCATGAAGTTTTCCGGTAATTTTTGGTACGACATTACAGTTAACCTTAAGTAAGTTACCATCAAGTAGTTTAATACCGGCAGTAACAGTTTGGGTTTCAATGGTCTTAGCTTCTGTATTACCAAAGGAAAAAACTGATAAAGATTGTGTATTATTGCACTCAAGTTTAAGTTTTTTAGCAAGATCCTTTGAAATATACGACCTCTGACTTCCAGTGTCAAACAGAACTCGAGCAGGTTCGGACAAGTCATCATTCACAACATATACTTTTGCAGTTTGTAAAATTGCATTTTCGTTTGCCGAAATCAGGGAAGTTTCTTTAGAAAAAATAGAGTTAGCAGAAGAGGATTCAGTACTTTTAGTGTTTTGAAGGAATCGTTTGGGACAGAGACTCCTATGATGGTTTGTCCTCTGTTTACAATATACACAAGGTTTGCTTACCTTACAATCTTTTAAGTTGTGGCCACTCTTCAGGCAAATAAAACAGAGACCTTTAACCTTACTTTTTCTTTCTTCTACAGTTTTATACTTCTGGCATTGGTCGTTCCAGTGGGCGTCTTTGCAGAAAATACAGGTTGCAGTTCTGTTTTCGGTCGATGGAAGGGCCTGTGTAGTTGAAAAATTATCTTTTTCTGAGGTACGAAAGTAGTTTCCGTTTTCTGATGGTGGGATGGAAGTTTTTGTTGATCCTAAACCTAATAACAGTTGTGACTTTTCTCTAGCTACGATTATATTTCTTACTATACTACATAATTTAGTGGCATCAAGAGTATTATCTACGTTGTTTTCTTCTACTTTTATAACTATATCCAGAGGAAGTTTCCTCATAATCAGAGAAAAAAAGAAATTTGAGTTGGTATCTTCGCCTAAGTTTTGTAGACACCTGATGTGTTTGTCAATAACATCGAATAAGTTCCTAAGTTTTCCAGTGTCGTTCGATTTTAAGGGACTTAAGTCCATCAAGGCTTTGTAATGCGAATTGATTATGAGTTGTTTGTTAGCAAATCTTTCTTGGAGTAAAGAAATGGCAACGTCATAATTGTCAGCAGTTAATTGTAGACCAGCAATGCATAGTTTGGCCTCTCCATGCAAAAGGGAGTTAAGGTAATTGAATTTATCTACTTTATTTAAATATTGCTGACTGTGAATGGCAGAGTTGTACGAGTCCCAGAACTCTTGCCATTTAAGAATGTTACCTTCAAACATGGGAAGGATTAGTTTAGGCAGTTGTACTAAACTGCGTGGATTTTCCAACACTCGCTCGGACGAAAGACCATTTGAATTATTGGCATGATCATTGATAGCTTTCGTGTTGAAGGCTTCTAGTCTTACCTTCAAGGTTGATATTACTTGCTCACTGTCAAGTACGATACCAAAAAGGTCCTCGGCGTCGTCGGTACCCTCCACAGTTGCCGACCCGTTGGCTGTGTCTAAGTCAATCTGTTCCATCAAGGCTTCTAGGCGAGCTGAATAGTTTTGCAGAGTTGCCAGCGTCGCTAGTAGCGCGTTCCTCGAAGGGTCCTCGGCGTTAAGCAGTGTAGTCGCCTCTGCAAGGGTAGACTTCACACGTGCCGTGAGAGTGGCAGCCTTCTTCCTTAGTCGAGTCGTCATGTTCAAAGTTCAGTTGAAGTTGGACAGTACAAATAAGTGAAATAAATATCAGTTACTGGTGGATCGTTGCAGCTCTGCTACCATGTCAAATAGTTAGTTGTTCAAGTTTAAAGTTAGTTAGTTTTATAAGATTAAAAGTTAGATAAAACTGAAATAAGTTGAGAGTTTGGTTCACAGTTTTTGTATTTTCATAGTAACAATTATAAGTTCAAAACAATAACAAATGAATTATAACCAGCTGGCATTAAATATATTAATGTAATCCATGCCTTTGGCACAGTAGGCCTATACCGGTAGCTTAAAAAAGGTTGTAAATATGTAGAGAAGGTAGAGAGATAGGCCTACCTATTTTGTAGATTCCCATACCGTATATGAATTCCTCAATATTCTTCTAATACAACAGCATCTTAGATTTTGACCCACACAAGACAAATTAGTCAAATATTATTATCATGGAAATATGAATGTTTTCAAATGCATTTTTTGGTAGGTAGCCTATGAACCCATAACTTAATGATCGCATGAAATTCATATCAACAAATAATAACTAACAAAGACTATTTGAGAATTTTTTCAAAATTTTTAAAGCGTCATATAAAAAATAAATTAAGTTTAACTTTTAATTTGGAATTTGAAAAAAAATTATTGTGACCTAGGCCTATATTTTTAGAAAGGGCTTACAAAATGACACCTCATCCATCTTTCTAGCTTGGTTCTGAGAGATGCTAGAGTTGTTTAAAGTTTCATTAATGGGTCGTTTTTGAGCGTTTTTTGTAAACTTTTAAGGATGCGTAATTTTGAAACTGTAGTTAGTTGAGATATTAGGTTGAAATTTGGTATTTTTCTTAGTCTCCATTGGATGTACTTACCAGTATACCAAATTTCATCAAAAGCTAAGATGGTGAGGTGAAGATCGCACCACTGTTATGTTAAGCTACACCACTTTTTTACCTCTTTAAAACCATCGTGTGTGAACCTGGCAATAACTCAGCAATAAGTAGTGCGGGCGCTTGTAAAAATCCATGGCTTGCCGTTTTGCAGAAAAATACTTACTCTTACAGCATATTATGTTGTAATACGGCCACGCAGTGTAATACCTTTGTAATACCCATATACAGTAGACCCCCTCTTAACCGACCTCGTATTAACCGATAATCGGATTATCCGCCTTCGGTCGTAAAATAATACAGTTTGTTTTAACCGACCTTGCTTTGAGAGCAGCTCGTTTTAACCGCCGCTTTCTAGGAATCTCGGCATTTCCGCTCCCACGCTGGGCGATGAGAGCCGAACCATACGCTTATCTCCACAGGATATGACTAAGAATAAGTTATTTTGTGTTGCTCACAAAAAATATAGCACAGCCTATTGTCAGTTTGTCATCATCGTTCGTAGCTCGAGCGCATCTGATCTGTTTGTTGTCTGTGCGGCAAATGTACCAACATAATAAAGTGTGTTACGATTTTGAGAACTGATTATCTTATCACTGGAGTAAACAAACAACGCAACTTGTAGGGAGGGCAGGGAAGGGGGGTTAACAGCTCCAAGGTCAAGATAGTTTTTGTGCCTCGAGCCTCCAGTGAGAGGCAATAAATAAACGTCCTGTCTTGTAACAAAATGGTTGCTTGTATCTTTAATTTTGACAAAAGGTTCTGTACCGTATTACGATGGATTTGTAAAGCATCAATTAATAAATCTATATCTATAAAAGAGGATGTTTGTATATATACTTGTTTGTTTGTTTGTTTGGGGGTGATAAACTCGGACACCGCTGAACCGATTGCCACGAAACTTGGTACATACGTGTAGAATGTCATGGAATAGGTTTATACACCATCAATTTCGTGATCCGTCCAATAGGCTCCGCCCCAGTGGCTCTGGAGTTTCCCATGTTAACCTTATGAGAAATGGAATTAATGAATCTTAACAGCTGTTTCAATTAAACAAGTTGGTTCTGTTCTATGATGTTCAATAGCATTAAAGTTACAAGGATTACCAACAGGGTGCAGCACTATTATTTCTTTTACATTTATGACAACAGCTAATTTGCAACCAAAAAGGTGAGTGAGCGTAGCGAACGAGCTAACCTGAAGGCAAGTGAGCGTAGCGAACGAGCTCCAACCTAAAGGTGAGTGAGCGTAGCGAACGAACTTCAACCAGGACGTGATTGAGCCATGCGAACGAGATCATCTTGAAAATTAAGAAGTTAAACGGGGCAAAGCCCGCGGGTTACAGCTAGTTACAGTACTAAAGTTATTAAAATAGGAATTTTATTGACTCTTGCCTAGTATTATAATATATTCCACTGAAAGTAGGCCTATTTGACTTAACCGTGTTTTGTGTTTATTTGTGACTTTTCTATCAATAGGAAAAAGGAGATAAGAGTAGTTTACTTGATAAATAATGCAATTATGATTTCAAAATAATGATTATATAATTCCAAATGAATAGCACTTCATTATGTTATGATTTTAGGGATTGTCCGTTTTATCCGACCTTTTGAGTTATCCGACCTAGGTTTGGTCCCATTAGGGTCGGTTAAGAGGGGGTCTACTGTAGTCATGTAATAAAGGACATGTTCACGCACATGATTATCAAGGTCATATAGGTACCAGGAACAAATGGTGGTCATACAAAAGAGGCGTAAATTGAAAAACCACTCATGTTAAAATCTATGGCCGGCCGTTTCTTAGGAAAATTAGGCCGCGTAGCGTAATACCATATAGTCACGAGATACTTAAGGACACTTTACGCACATGACAGTATCAAGGTCATATACCAGGAACAAATAGTGGTCGTACAAAAGGGGCGTAAACTGAAAAACGCAATTGGTCATTTCAGTGTAATGGTTTGTTAATAGTTTTTGTAAAATTAAATTCTAGCCTCTGTAACTTAATGTTAATATACCGAATCAAAATCAATATAGGCCTAAGTTATATCAATATTTAATCTGATAATAACTTATAAAACATGATCTCTGCAGAGCTATTACCTACCCCAAGGCTGTACTAAAGATGTCAATAAGTTAGATTTAATTGCGATGTAACTTATTGGATGGGAGGCTGCAGATTCATTAATTTCCTAAAACAGTTTCAATGGAGCTAAACTTGTCCTATCATCTAATCATAACTTGAATCATAATCATGTATGAATCATAACATAACCAGTCAGTTGATCTGAAGTGTCGACGTTATATTAAGGTTAGAAATTTTTCATTAAGATATATAGAGTTTTCAATTTTTTCTTTAATTCAATATTTGACTGGGAAGGGTGTAACGATCTTTAGGACTTAAGAATTTTTTTTCTTTGACTTGTTAACAAATCACTTTCACTTCCGGTTGAGCCTGTACGTGTTGATTGTGAATATTGTACAATAGTAACTTAAGTGTTTGCCACCACACACCATTTATTTTTATCTTAGAACTGCTAAGCTAATACCTATGCATGTTTTTTTGTAGGCCTAGCAAATAGACTAATTGGATATATTTTATTGCAATTTTCTTGTACATTTGAAACAAAATGTGGTATTAATTCTTTATATTAAAAATTGTGACTTTTGCAGATTTAATAAAAAAAAATGGAAGAAGACACTGAATACTTGAAGTTGAATATAGAAGACAGATGTGTACACAAGGTAGGCCAACAAATAACATTTACTTAAGTTAAACCTTGTAACTCTCAACATTAATTATCAGCTCATGATTAATTGGAACAGCTGTAGCCATAGCCAGTCCTTTACTTAAAGAAAGCGTAGTAAAACAATTTATTTTAAGAATAGGTTGCCCTATCTTTATCAGTGTCGTTAAATTTAATATTGTTGTTTTTAATGTTGTGTAAAGGCTACATCCCTTATAGACAGTTTATTTTTGACATTTTGAAATAAAGAGTATTTTATTTACATTTGAAGAATTTATTCCTGTTTGCATTAAAAATAAATTGTTTAATTACTATTACCACTGTTTGCTTGTAAGACTAACTTGTCTGCATCTATAAATTTATGTTGTTGCTATTGTAAAAATGGTTTTTACCATTGAAAATGAATGAATAAATAAATAAATGGTGATCACACCCTAGGGCCTAAGTTTAATGGGAAACCATTTGAATTACAGTAGACCCCCTCTTATCGGGCCATCGGCATTAACTGATCAATCGGATAATCCACCCTCGATCGTAAAATATTAGTTTTGTTTGAACCGACCTTGCTTTGAGAGCAGTTTGGTTTAACCACCGCTTTCTAGGAATCTCGTCATTTCCGCTCCCACGCTCGGCGATGAGAACCATACGCTTATCTCCACAGGATGTGACTGCTATTTTTGTAATAGGTATAATCTAGAATTATCTTATGGCTAGAGTAAACAAACAACACAACTTGTTGGGAGGGCAGGGGAGGGGGGTTAACTACTCCAAGGTTGTAGCCTCCAGTGAGAGGCTAAAAATAAACATCCTGTCTCGTAACAAAATGGTTGCATGTAACTTACCTTTAATTTCGACAAAAAGTTCTGTAGGTACTGTACTACGATAGACTTTTAAGCAGAGTTATTAAAATAATAATTTTTATTGACTCTTGTCTACAACTATTATTTTTACACAGAAAATATTTTACTTTACTGTGTTTTGCGTTTATTTACATGTAATTCTTCTGTCAATGTGAAAAAGAAGTGTAGTTTATTTCATTAATAATGCAAGTAGGACTTGAACAATAAAGGTTATATGTAGCCTAATTCCAATAGAATAGAATTTTGTTTTGTTATTTTTTTGGGGATTGCCCGTTTTAACCTACCTGTAGACTTATCCGACCTAGGTCCAGTCCCATTAGGGTTGGTTAAGAGGGGGTCTACTGTAGTAGGCCTGTTATTGCTTTGTAAACGGATGTATGGTAACACTTTTAGAAATACTTTTAGAGTAGGCTACAGTGTGTTGTATGTTGCACAGTAAGAAAGTAACTTGTGTCTTCCCACAAATTTTCAGGCGTGGAAAGCCAGAGTCAATGGTTACGAAGAGGCGAAAAAACTTTTTAACCAAATAGCGGATGAAAAATCACCAGAATGGAACAAGTTCTTAGGTCTGTTAAAGAAGATGGTTGTCGACAGCAATGCTCTCGCTCAAGAAAAGGGTTTGGAAGCTGTTCTAGCCTATGTTGAAAACAGTGCTGTGGCGGGAAAGTAAGTAATGATTTTATTTTAATACAGTTTCTTTACAAAATCTGGTGTTAGGTATTTTTGTGTACATTGTGTGTTTGAAAGAACTATTGCGGATATTTTCCATCATGATAAGTGAAAAACAATTTTTTACAACAATTTAAGGAAAACCCTGAATCCTGCCCACAGGGGAGAAAGTAGGTACCCAAGACATTTAACAAAAGTAAAAACAAACCCAGCTAAAGTTGGAAAATCGCATGGAATAACCATACATATAACTGTATAGTAGTCAGAATGAATAGCATGCAAAAAACCAAATGAATTCTGAAACAATACAATAGGTTAGAACAAATGTGGGTATGAACAAAATGGGCCAACTTCACAAGGCTGGCTTAACCAAGACTGAGCTCACGTTTCCGACCGGTAACTTAGTGACTGTATGGAAGCGTTTGTGACGGGAATCAGAAACCGGAATAGTTTCCCTCAACGCCGTGAAAACTTATATTTTTCCTAGTGTTCGTAATAACCTCTTAAACGTGATAAACCCAATTTCACCAATAGCCTAATAAATTTCAAACAGAGGCTAAGGCTATCTAATCATAATGAGTGCTGAATAACTAGGTCTATAAGCTACGTTTCTGTGTGTATTAGGCCTAGTGGGTATTTGGGGGTTACTATAATGTAGCCTACTTGTAGAAGATTTTCGTCAAATCATCTGGAAGGTTCAAAATTTTCTTCACAAATTTTGAGAATTAGTCCTGTTTTAAGACATTTCCCTTCAATTTTAAAATTTTCAAACAAAGAATCAACATTCCATAATTGGTTTAACATAATTTTTGTATCAGTATTTTTCAAACAGGGGTTAGAATTTTTATCTAAATGAATTTAAGAATTAGTACTTGTTAGTACCGGTACTTAACGATTTACCTGGCACAAGCTATTTATAAAATTGCTGATTTAAATAAACTGTTGGTATTGGCTCATTAAATATTAATCCAGCAATCAATACCTATCGAGGATTAAGTACTAAATGCACAAAAACGTTTTAATACACCTTAAATGAATCTCAGATTAATTATCGGTTTATAAATTAATTTGATAGGTACTGGGATGGTTTTTGATGTTTTCTTGCAGAGTTGAGACAAGGCCCCATTAGAAAAACAGGCCATGCTGCAGCGCGGGTAGCGCAACACTACGTCACAGTGGTGGATAGTTGTACTTTTAATCTTGCTGTTAAAATCTTACAAACAGCAAGCTTTAACTTGGGATATGGCAGTGAATCTATCCACCAGTGTGACGTCATGGTTATGCAGCATGGCCGGTTTTTCTAATGGGGCCTTGATTGAGGATGTTATTGATGTTTACTTGCGTAGTTGAAGAACAACTTGTGTCGAGTGGCGATAACAGTTTTTTTAATCACTTGCAATATTGTCTACAGGACTGTAGGAGATGTAATGTCTGGGCTAGTGGCTAAATGCATCGGAGCTCCTAAAGCCAAGACCAAGGAACTGGCTGGACAAATAGCACTCATGTACGTAGAGATCGAGAAGCATGAAGTAGTTCTGGAAGAACTGCTCAAGGGAACGGAACAGAAGAATCCGAAAATTGTCACAGGCTGCATTAGCATTATCATCCAAGGTCTGAAGTAAGTACAAGGTTCAGAAAAAGTAACGATCCAATAACACAGGGTGAGGCAGTGAGAGCACCCCAATTTTCTTTCGTTGTCACACTATAAGTAAAGCAACAATGAATGAATAGCTGTGCTTATAACATCAATTAAACTATGCCATTTTCATTATGGTGTGGGTAGCCTCCGGATTGCGAATAATAACTATGATAGTGGTTTAAATACCTTATTCATGCAATCCAATTGTTGTCTCCACAACTAGTTTCAACCTGCTAGGAGGTCATCATCAGGTGAGTACAAGGATGAATTACTTCATATGAAGGTCGTCAGTAACAGTTTTTTTTTACATTTACACAAACACACGACGAATAATAAACACATAGTGCGCACACATATACGGCCGATATGGAACCGACGAGCGATAAGAAAATGCGCGTGATGCTTGACCAGCTGTTTACCCTACAGTCTAGACGCAACTTTCGCATTCTCAACACGGGTCCGCTTGTCAAGTTCAATGTTTTTATCGGCCGTATATGTGTGCGCACTATGTGTTTATTATTCGTTGTGTGTTTGTTTAAATGTAAAACAAAAACTGTTACTGACGACCTTCATATGAAGTAATTCATCCTTGTACTCACCTGATGATGACCTCCTAGCAGGTTGAAACTAGTTGTGGAGACAACAATTGGATTGCATGAATAAGGTATTTAAACCACTATCATAGTATGCCATTTTAGTAAACATTATGCCTGAGGCTATTAGAACTGAGATTTCGATCTGGAAACCTATTTTTGAAATAGGTTAGGAGTTAAGGAAAGGCCAATTGGCTGATTAGGATTATTATGTACAAGGATAGGGATCAGCTAGCTTACCTGGTAGATAGAGTCCAGATTAGCCTTGATTACACATAAAACACGCGTCAAACACTCATCAAAGATGTGATGACCATGGCAAGAAGCCTTAGACTCAAGAATCATTTTGCCAATCAAAATCTTCCGACACCAGACTCGACCACTATGACATCGCTTAATAAATTCAAACCACCATCTGACTTTGACCCGCCCCCGTTACCACCGGACCACCCAATAGAACAGTTTATCAATCTCATAGTCCAAAACATATCAGATCCTTCCTTTGAGAAATCAGTCCAAGAGGCTGCCCAACCCAACCTAACCTTGGATGAAAAGCAAGCCTTGCGAGATCTGAAGAACAATAAAGACATTGTGATTCTACCAGCCGACAAAGGTTCCACAACCGTAGTCATGAACAAGACAGATTATGTTGCAGAAATTGATCGTCAACTTTCAGACTCCACAACCTATCAACTGTTGAATGAAAACCCTACAGAACGCTATAACTCGGAACTTCAAGACCTCATCAAACGGAATGCCTCTCTGAACCAGCTTACCCCAGAAACGGTCAGACTGCTAACGCCAGAAAACCCATCCACCCCAAAATTATATATTCTCCCCAAAATACACAAAGATACCTTCCCACCACCAGGTAGACCAATTGTCTCAGGATGCGGTTCTCCCACAGAAAGAATTTCGGCTTATGTGGACACCTATCTCCAGCCTATAGTACAAAATCTCCCATCATATATCAAAGACACAACAGACTTCCTTCTTAGACTTTCTTCAGTTACAAACAAGCTCACACCTAACTCCATCCTAGCTACAATAGATGTCACATCCCTGTATACCAATATCCCCCACGCCCACGGACTTGCTGCAGTTGAACATTACCTTGACAAAAGAACTAAAGGTGAACTCCCTAAGACTTCCTTTATCATCAGCCTCACCAAATTCATCCTTGAAAAGAATAATTTTCAATTCCTGGACCGCCACTACTTGCAGATAAAAGGGACTGCCATGGGTACCAGGATGGCCCCCTCATACGCCAACTTGTTTATGGGAAAACTTGAAAATGACTTTCTGCAAAAACAGACTCTACAACCAACTTGTTGGTTCAGATACATAGACGACATCTTTGTCATTTGGCCCCATGGAGAAAATAGCCTCAACCATTTTTCTCAACATTGAAATTCACTTGGGAATTATCTGAAACTGCGGTTCACTTTCTTGACGTCATGGTGGAACTGAAAAATGGCTCAATCTCCACATCTGTCTACACCAAACCCACCAACCACCAACAGTACCTACACTACAACAGCTGCCATCCCAACAACACCAAACGCTCCCTACCCTACAGTCTTGCCTTAAGAGGGAAACGAATAAACTCCGACAAGAAGAATCTGATAACTTACAACAAACAACTCCAAACTGCTTTTGAAAATAGAGGATACCCGACACAAACAGTCTCTTCGCAAATAAAAGCGGCCCAAAATGCTACCGACAATCCACCTAAGAAAACCAAAACCACCTACGATGTCAACCTGGTGACTACTTACCACCCAGGCCTCAACAGGCTCAATAACCTTTTGAGAACCGGCTACAACATGCTTCGAAGCTCCACCCAGACCAAAGATCTCTTCCAAAAACCCCCCACCATAGTCTACAGACAACCTGCCAATCTAAAAACCATCCTAGTCCATCCCAAGTTACCCGACCCGTCCGTTGAACCACCTCCAAGACTGCCCCCAGGTTCCTACCCATGCAATGAAACCAAATGCAAGACCTGTGGCATCAACATTCCTGCAGAAACCTTCACCAGCACATCGTACAACAAAGAGTACAAAATAAAAGACCACATAACATGCAATAGCGAAAGCCTGATCTACCAACTACAATGCAAACTCTGTCAAGCTCAATATATAGGCCTAACCACCCAAACTCTTAGGAAAAGGATGAATGGACATAGACAGGATGTTAAAACAAACAAATACAAACCCATTGCAATACATGCAGCAAACCACAACTTAGACTTTGATACATGTTTCACGACAAAAGCCATAAAATCCCTCCCCAAAGACCAATGTAACAGCTCCCTACTCATAAGGTGGGAACTAGCCTACCAATACATCACTGATTCCAGAAACCCTCCTAACCTTAACATCAGATAATTCACCCAACCATTCCCTCAGCTAGCTTCATTTTTATAAAAATCAACCACCATATGTATATATAGAAGTATATGTGTATATAGATGTACATAACAACAGTAATTTTAAACAACAGTTGGCAACACTATTGTGGAACTTTTGAATTTGAACTGTAACTGCCAGTTTTCTTTCTTCTCCCTTCTGATGAAGTCCCTAACTGGGACGAAATATTAAGTTTTTCTGTGTTGTGTCATGTGTTTTATGTGTAATCAAGGCTAATCTGGACTCTATCTACCAGGTAAGCTAGCTGATCCCTATCCTTGTACATAATAATCCTATTTTTGAAATAGTGATTCTTGTGCAAATACCCAGATATTGTTTGTAATTTAATAATATATAAACACTTTGCGCTAGTTTGTTCATATTTTTCATTGGAGTTTCAGTTTTTATTTTTAGAGATACCTAACATGCATATTTAGGAAGTTCTATGAATGAAGATGGTTTGAATTTCGAGTTGAATTATACAGGGTGAGTTTTAATTGCCCCCCCCCCAACTTTTTTCTACATTTTTTCAAATATCAATCCCAGAACACTTCCAAACATTGTTGGGTAGTAAGTACTTCATTTTGACAAGGTGGTCATTTACGTCCTGTTAAAATTCACCTCACACTGCATGTAGATAACCTTTATAGTGTAGCTGCACAGTGCACACATTATTTTTTTAAGCCAATCATGCTTCAGATTGAGAAATCTCCAATCGCAGTTTGGTTGAAAACACCAAACATCACTTTACAATATTAGCCTTTGGTGCGTAATTGTTGGTATAAATTGTCATTTCAATTTTCAGGGAATTTGGAATAAAAGTTATCACCATCAAACCGATTTTGAAACGTTTGCCCCAGTTGATTGAAGACAGGGACAAAACAGTACGAGAAGAAACCAAAGCGCTCGTTGTGGAAATGTATCGATGGATCGGAGCCGCTCTGAATCCTCAGCTTACGTTCCTCAAACCCATCCAGGTATTATTTAAAATTCTGATATTTTCTGTGTTAACGCAGGCCATCTTTTTATTTTTATCTATTAACGTACCTTTCCTTTTTTTCTTTTTTATGGAACTGGAAGGTATATCTGTTGTAGTGACATTCTTAACAACCAAGTAAGTTGATGATTCTGTTAAGATTGAAATTGTTTTGTCTTCACAGATGACGGAACTTAAGCCTGATTTCGACAAAGTGAGCGGACAAAAGGCAGCGCCAACTAGATATCTTCGCTCGCAACAAGCCAAACAATCTAAGATTGCGGCTGAGACAGCTGAAGCTGATGACGGTGTGTATTATCAATGTTAGATTAAACAGGCGATGGTGTTTTGAGGAAAAAGTTATTATTCTGATTATTGAGGATTTAGTAAGTGTCTTTGTTTGTTAAATCAAATATAACAATCTATCTAATCATTGAATGTTGATTCAAATTAATTTTGATATTATGTATTGTCTATTATAATTTTATTTCTGTGCAATGAAAAATTTTATTATAAAACAATATTTGATTGTAGACATTTTATGTCCTTACTTCAACCTGAACACAAAACATAAAAACTTAATTGATAAATATAGTTTAAAGCTAAATTGGAGTAACATAGCGTACTCTATTGGAATTTTATTACGTTTCTTTTTAATTTTATAAGGTTATTCATTGTATTTTTTTAAATTTTAGTTGACCTTGGTTGTTTCAAATGTTGAAAAATGCTCTAAATAAAGGTAGTTTTTTATTCTTTAGGAGAAGAAGGAGACGAGTGTGATGACGGAGGCGCTGGCGATGTAGACCCTTACGAGCTCATGATAGCCGTGGACATTCTCTCCCGACTGCCGAAAGATTTCTACGAGAAAGTGGAGGCCAAGAAGTGGCAGGAACGGAAGGAAGCGGTGGATGCCTTGGACCAGCTGTTACAAGGAGGCCCCAAACTGGAGAACGGCGACTACGGCGAGCTAGTACGAACTTTGAAAAAGGTAATGTAGAATGTGATTACATTTTAATTACTTACCATTGTGTAGAATGTGAAGTTTTTATGAATCAAAACAATCACATATTGTAGATTTGTAATCTTAGTGTGACGATCTTGCAAAACTGAGTACACACTACTCACCAACAATTTGGCCTCGATGTAGACTGTAATCACAAGGGTGACTTTTCACTGGTCATTGCCAAGTCAAGTTAAAGACGATCGACACTCGATACACATCGAAACTAGGGATGGACGGGTCTCGAAATTTCGAGAAATTTTCGGGAAATTTTAAATCTCGTTCTACGAGACGAGATTTTTTTTTTGACCGAGAAATTTTCGAGACGGGAAAACGTTCGAGACGGGAAATGACCGGTGCATAATAATAACCTAGGAATCGCCGCTAGGCCTACATTATTAGCAATTGAATACTGAAATAAATAATGTTGAAGTAAAGTGTTTTATTTCCCCTATTCCTCCACAAAACTACACATTTAATTTAACATTATAAACGGCCAAACTTCATTTGGAGAGTGGAGACGTATTTCAACATCCAGAACTGCCACTTGCTACAAGTACAAGTAGGCCTACAGACGACTTGGACCCCGGACGACAATGACGACATAGAACTATAAAGGTCGAGGTGAGTACCAACTTAAATGCATTAGGAATAAGATGTTTGTTTATTCCCTAAATAAATATGTTTATAACACTTTTTAAAAGTAAATTACAACCAAAACAACAAGTTTCCTTATCTAATATCAATATGACCTGTGCCGAAATTACGTTATCAAACATAGCTTGAAGCCAATTATTAGTCACAAGCTATCCATGAATGGTAAAAACAATAAAACTTTGATTGAGAAAGGATTTTTTAAGGTTCAATTAAAGGTCAAAAGTATGTTTTATCGATGGTTGAACTATATTATGCGATGTATTAACTTACCATCTCATCCCATTGTAAATTTTGAAGTTCGTTTTTCGTGTCTATTTCATGCCTGATGGCACTGATTGCTAGTGTAAACGAAATTTGTTTAAATTAATGTTAATTTCATGATTTGTGCTTTATGTTTGATTTGGTTAATAACTCTAGATGAGGAGAACTAGTCTATTGTTTATCATTAGGCTATATCGTTCTATTAGGTCAAACGACAACGCTCAGACACTAAAACAACAACAAACAAATTGTTAACAAAACACGACCTCTACAATGAACAAAACAGAACTAACAATAAAAGTGTCTTCAGCTGTTCCATAATTACGAGAAATCTTTAACTCAATAGTCAAAGGGATTGTGTTTTATCATAGATAAAACCATAGATAAAACATACTCCCAAAACGTACTCAAGCCTATTCATTGTTAGTTCTGTCGTGCGTGTTCGGTGCACTGTAGAGGTCGTGTTTTGTTTACAATTCTTGTTATTTCAGTAATTTATAACCTTGTATAACCGAATAAAACCATCTAATCACAACCAATAACTCGTCTCCTAGTTATATAACCAAATAGTAAAGCAAAAATCATGAAATTATCCCTATAACAATAGAAACAAAATTTCGTCGACAGCAGCGCCAAGTGTCACCGGACATGAACTACACATGAAAAATGAGCTTCAAATTGACAATGGGATGAGAAGTCTACTTTTGTTCTATGTATTACAATAATTCAATTTAATAACCAATTGCCGTCGCGATCCTGTAAACGACAAGTTACATGTTACAAAGTTTGATTTCTTTCTCTTTGCCTTTGCACATCAGACTAAAAACTTTCGTTACTCTAATCGGCGTCAACAGACGACAGACGGAGACGATCAGCTGACGTAGTGTTGTTTACAAACAAAGAAGTAATGTTGTGCTCCGAACAAGTGAAATAGGCCTAGTTTGATTTAATTTATTCAATATTACCTTGTTTAATTTTACTTAGTTCCATTTTCCACCTGCATTGTTTAACGTGAATGTCGAAATGGAGCCTGAAGAAACTGCTACAACGTCAAGTAGTGAGGAAACAGCAGTCGGCAAAAAGACCAGTGCTCCTATTTGGGAGCACTTTGTGAAAATGTCGGCAACAGCGACTTCATCTGGCAGTAGTGCAAGTGAAATTGCAAAATGCCTGCATTGCCAATCGAAGATAAAGACCAGTTTTGGTAACACCACAGGTATGCATAGGCATCTTGAAAATAAGCATTATGCTAAATATTTGATATTTAAAAAGAACCAAAAAGAAAATGAAGCAAAAAAGTTTCAAAAAAAAATACAAACAGGCCTAGCTAAGCCTATACCTCCCGTAACACAAAGAAAATTGACTGACTTAAATCAGTGGAATAAAGATAATCCTAGGGCTAAAGCCCTAACAATGGAAATCGGGAAGTGGATGGCTTCTAGTCTACATCCGTACAGCCTAGTGGAAGAACAGGGTCTTAGAAATGTGCTTAGAATTGCACAACCATTGTACAAAGTTCCTTCTAGCAAGACATTCAGTAGGAATATCATTCCTGGACTATTCCAAGGAGTAAAGGATGTTATCCATAACTCCATAAGTAAACAGAAATCCATTTTAGCCTCAATTACAATAACCATAGATATGTGGACATCCCTCTCAAATGAATCCTTTATGGCACTAACAACACACTTCATGGATGAGAATTTCACTATAAAAAACTACTGCTTAGGATGTTATGGTTTTCAAGGGGAACATACTGGTGAACATATTGCCCAGAAAACTAATGAATCACTTGAATATTGGGACCTAAATGATGTGGCAATACCCATTTATGCTGTCACAGACAACGGCAAAAACATAACATCGGGAGTTAACATGTGCAAGCAGCTTACTGCCCTTAGATGTTTTGCCCACACCCTTCAACTTGTTTTGGTAGATGCCAAGAAAGGCACATCAGGTATGAGTGAACTGGTAACCAAGGCACGCAAAATTGTTGGCCATTACAGGCATAGCTCAACGGCCACTGAGCGTCTCCATACCCTCCAAAATGAGATGGGAAAAGAACCTCTCAAACTCATTCAAGATGTAGAAACCAGATGGAACTCTGAATACCTAATGCTCTCCAGACTACTAGAAAATAAGGAACCAATAGCGAGAGACTTAGCTTCTTCAGGCAAAATCGATAACTTGACTGTTTCAGAATGGCGATTTGTAGAAGCTTATGTCAAAATCCTCCAGCCCCTTTACCAAGCCACAGTTGAAATGTGCTCTTCAATTATGCCTACAGCCTCAATGGTAATTCCCATACTATACTGTATTGAGCAGAAATTGAAAGCCATTATTGAAGATGACACTGGTGTAGGGAAAATGTTTTCAAGGCATTTACTGCAAAGTTTACTGTCCAGATTTCCTAGAAATATGAAAATCGACCCGTACATCAATGCTATGCTTGTTGACCCAAGATTCAAAGACATTGCGTTGGAACCACATGAAAGGTCACTATACTTATCAGAGTTTAAGAAACAAATAATGGCATCCAAAGGACAACTTCCAGTTGAAGAAGACAAAAGCCAAAGTTAGTACAAAAATATTTTTTAATGTAAGATTATGTTTGGTTTTGATTTTTGCAGTTGTAAGGTTAGTTAAATACTCAAATTATGTTTTAAAACAACAAGTTTCTGCAGTTCAGTACAATACTTAAAAGGTTCATTTGAATATATAAAATTGAAGCTGAGATGATGTAAACTTTTATCAAGCTAACATTCAATAAAACCACATAAAAATGTCCACCTAAATAAGGAAAATTTCTCGTTCATGTGATTAAGGTTATCCCTTATCAACTAACAACTAACAAGATAAAATAAATAGTCTTGTAAAGCTTAACATTTATTATTCAATTGACAAAAATACAGAACAACAGACATAACAGTTGAACAATAGAGAATGATGTTTTGTTAGCATGGGATTAAAAGAAGGAACTATTAATGTAGACTAGGCCTAATTACATTTTAATTTTTTTATTCATGACATTACACTTTATATTACAGTACTTAGTCCTATATCTTCTTTTTAGGAAAAGAAGAAGTTAAGTCACATTCACTGTGGTCCGTTTTCATCATGAAGGCTGAAGCGAAGAAGGCCCAAGAACCAGCAGCCGGTAGCACCAAGCTAGATCAGCTAGTAGATGAAGAGCTGAAGGTGTACTTTGGTGAGCCAACTATTCTGCCATCTGAAGATCCCTGTGCTTGGTGGAGGAAAAATGAAAGTAGATTTCCTCTAATGAAAGTTGTAGTTCGTAAGTACCTTGGTATCCCTGGGACTGAAGTTGCAAGTGAACGAACATTTTCCTCTGCAGGAAATGTAGTCACTCCATTGAGGCAAAGGCTAACAATAGAACATATTGAAGAACTGGTGTTTTTGCACCAAAACTCTAAATTAATGTATGAACAGGGGGAGTAGGGCCTACTTGAATTAAGCTATACCAGTAAATGTTATAAATATAGTTTTTGATCTCTTTAAGGCTGTTTGGATTCAGAGATATGTAAGTCTCCCTTGACTGAGTTTTATGTATTGTTTTATTGTTTTATTATTTAAGGTATCTACCATAATCAATTTAAATTTTGACTTTGTCCTTATTTATGTATTGCGTAGAGTTGGGTCTTTCAAATTCTCATACTGGTGTTTAAAATTCTCAAGTTAATCTACTTGTGTATTTCATAGAATTGTAATACTATTAATTCTTGAGAATTTAATAATTTGACAAGTGGTTGATGTTATTTATTGTTTTACTTGACAATAGTCCAATGAGTTCTTGAGGCTGAGGCTAACAGTGTACATGTTATAGGCTAGGCTTGTTTGTTTTTATCTAATTGTCATTTGTGTTTATTAAAATCATATTATTTTTTATTATATGATGATATGATGATTGATTGATAAAAAAATAACATATCTGTGATTGTGAACCTTGTCATAGTCATTTAATAGGAAATTATTTGTGGTAGGCTATTTTTGTTTATTTTATATTGTTGTTTAACAGGATTGTTTACGTTTCGTTTTTTGGTTTTATTGATAATTTTGTCTATGTTATGTCCTATCCTATTATTTATTATGTTTGTTTATTGGTTTTATTGATAATTTTGTCTATGCCATGTCCTATTATGGCTATGACCTCCATTTACAATTTTATTTTATGATTTGTTGTTTTGACATAACCAAAGGATGAGAAGTTTTGTAAAGTGTAAGCAGTGTGTGTTATGTATTACTAGGTCTACTGTAAACATAGCCAAAACCAGTCACTCCAAAATCAAATAATTCTCAAAAATTACACAAGACTGAAAATAATGTTACTTGATACTTTACTATTAAGACTGATCTTTGGACTGATATGTTTTGTATTTTTCAAAGTTTTACTATTGTAGTTTTATACTTAACTAATAAAACTGATGTTTTAAATTGATATAGCCTATTTTGTATTTTTCAAAGTCAAACTATATCCTAACTGATATCACCATGTTTCCTATGCGTATTAGTTATTTTTAATAAGGTAGGCCTAATTAACATTTATATTTTATACTGCTGTTTTTAATGATGTTTTTAATAAAAGATTTGAAATATTCTTGCCTATTATTGCATTTTTTGTATTTTACCAGTCATCTGTCATCAAATCGGTAGGTATTTAACAATGCTACAAAATCAGGTTAAAATGTCGAACGCGCATTTCTCGTTATGTATGAGAAGGGAAATCTCGTCTCGATCTCGTCTCGAAATTTTATGAGAAATAAAAAATCTCGTCTCGTCTCGTCTCGAACTAAAAATCCAATCTCGTCCATCCCTAATCGAAACACAAAGACACTCGAAATCTAGGCTGCAACGTGAATGTTTTTCATAGATTTGGACACAGTTGTCATTTGATGGCTTCTTTATTTTTGTTGTCATCATACTTAGGCCTAATAAGTGTTTCCTAAAGACCAAAACCAAAGTCTCGCATATTGGGTCAAGAAAGTCCCGTTTCATCCCACTTCAGCATAGGCTAATATCCTGTTTTATCCTGCGTGTAATTTCTGGTTATAACCTGGGCGATCTTTTTACATACCATGTTTAAATAGTACTTTAAACCTTGCTGTGCTGTAATGCGGTTTATAAAATAATTAAATAATTTTAAGTTGGTTTTTTATCTTGAAAAGTATAAAAAAGATAAATGGGGGCAGAGTCAATACCTACTTTATTACACATCTAATTTTTATTCCCACACATGGTCTAAAATCTTGTTTACAATAGTATATTACGTTACTAGTCCTGAAAATAAGAGTTTGTACGTGTGTGGTCGTTCCTGTGCGAGACTAAGTCGAGATTACCATACGAGTCCGGTACACACATTTTGGACGATTTATGTACAATAGGTTATGCCATACTACTAAATCTGTACAAATCTTTATATATTTCTACCAACTAAAGGACTAAAAATCACTAGTCATAACCTCGTTTTTGTTTTTAACCATTCATTGCCACCTAAATACAGTATAATCAGGTGATTGGTGTCCGGTAAAACTCATTACAGTACAGTAGTACGCAATGAAACCCCATGTGAATAAGCTGGCGGCAAACAGCTGTTTTCTGGACAAAATCCTTGCATGGGAAGTTCGTCAAAATAATGTAGTGTGGCGTAAAAATTATTATCTTGTACAAAAATCTGTAAGTCAATTTTCTTTTTTCATATGTAGAAATTAGAAGGCTAGGATTACAAGTATTCTTATAGAAACACTGCACTTAATATTGCATGTTTGAGAAAGGATATGAAATTGACCAAAGTTGTTGAGTGCAAGACTGTAAATAGCATTTAAGGTTCTATTTTAAAGAAAAGCCAGGTGGCTGGTCATGTTTTTTTTATAAAAGGAAAGAGTTTGCCAGCTTACCTGATATAATAAGAGCCCAAGGGACAATATAAGGTCACAAATTAACACTGATATATTACCCTCATATAGCATGTCTTCAGAGAATAAGGGAATTGTAGAAAATTTACTTTCACAACCTTATGTTTACGTTAAGTAATATATTATTAAATTTGTTTTCTAGATGATAACGAAGGACAGTAACGTGGTTATAGTCGCTTTAGCTACCAAGTGTTTGGCCACCATTGCCACAGGGCTGAAAAAGAGGTTTCAACCTTACGCAGTCGCCTGCATCTCCGGACTGTTGGAGAAGTTCAAAGAGAAGAAGCAGAACGTGGTCGTTGCTTTGAGAGAAGCAGTTGACGCGATCTATGTCAGCGTAAGTTGCAACAAGAGTTAGATAATTATTATCTATACTGCAATTTTTTTGATGCCAGGGTTTTTTCTTATAAGTTTCTAGCAGCGACTTCAGTTTTCAATTCTGTACTGTACGAATAGCTGTAATTGGAGGTACAAGTTTCTCTCAACTTCCAACTATTTAGTTAAGAAAAAGAAATAAAAAAATTTGTATTTCTTTTAACTTTTTTTTTTTGCTGCTCTAATCATTGTTTTTGGTAATCGTGGTCTCTGATCTAGAATGTTCTTGTATTAATATAATAGGTTTGTACTGTTTGTAGGTTTTTTTATTTGATTGTAGATTCTGAAACAAAAAAAAAAGTTTTGCTAGTCGATCATGGAAAATGTCAACAATAATTTTTTACAATGCACCCACAAAAAAATCTTAAAACAAAGGAACCTCGAGTTTTGTTAACTATGAATAAAACTGGATTATGACAACAAGACCTATGAATTTAATTTTCCAGTTTTAGTGGGGATCCTGTGTTAACGTAAACTTACCAACCACATTACACTAGTGGAACAAACCAAAGATTTTCACTACTATAACTTTGCAGACCACACTTGAAGCCATTCAAGATGATGTGTTGGCAGCTCTGGAGAATAAGAACCCTTCGGTGAAGGCGGAGACAGCGGTTTTCCTGGCCCGCTGCTTCACAAAGTGCACCCCTGTGGTTCTCAACAAGAAACTCCTTAAAGCTTTCAGCGCTGTTCTGCTCAAGACTCTTAACGAATCTGGTAAACAATTTAAATTATTTGATAATTTGAATCAGGTTACATTACCAACTTACACATAACATTCCACAGATTTTCCAAGATATAAGGTCTTGTAGGCAATGCTAAACATAAGTCTTTTGTTGAAACAATACGTCAAGAGCTTCATCTATTAAATATTTCGTTTACAGATCCAACAGTTCGAGATGCTTCTGCAGAAGCGCTAGGAACGGCAATGAAAGTCGTCGGAGAGAAAGGAATTGCACCGTTCTTGACTGATGTAGACAACTTAAAAATGACAAAGGTAAAAAAATTAGAATTGACATGAGAGAAGATAGTCTACCTATGAATATGAATAGATCCAACTAGATGTATCATCTACCTTTAGATGTATAGATGGTCTAATTAGGGGTCTGCTGTTGGGTCGGGAAGATGTTACAAGTTTTTGGCCAAAATCAAGTTCTTTTGGATAGTATTCATTAATTTCTGTTACTACAATTATTTGTAGAATATTTTAGAATATTTTATATCCCACAATCATGGTGGTAATGTGAATGACATCTGTGATCGTGACTATCTTCCTTAAAATCATGCATATCATGCTGCGGTTGCAGGACAATGAAATTGTAATTTTACTTTCACACAATCATCACTGATGCTTTTTGCGATGAATATTGCGTGAATAAAAGCTCTAGCAAAGCTATAATATAACTTACCTGAATTACATGTGAAAATTATTTCTCGAATAATTCAATTTTGTGGGAAAAGTGTTGACCTGAACCTATCTGAAATCTCATTGATCGTAAATAGATGTATATTGTGGATAGGCCTACCTATAGTTATCTTAGGCCTACTCCGAACAATTGCTAAACTTTCTTCTCAATCTTCTCAGATCAAGGAGGCCTGTGACAAAGCGGAGCTGCAGGTGAAGCAGCCTAAGGTAGTAGCTAAGAAGCCGGTGCCCGCTGCTGCCCCCGCTAAGACTGCTGGCTTTACGGCTCCTAAGCCTGTTAAGCGACCAGCAGGCTCCACTACAAAGAAGCCGTCTGGATCTGCCGGCACTAAGAAGGCTGCTCCCAGCGCCGCTCAAAGTAAGTTATTTATTTCTGCATGTATTTTAAAACAGCTTCGTATCCCAAAGGGGATAGCAGCGCATGTGCGCCACTGGTAATTTTGAGGGAATTTAATTTAAATCTTGCCATTGATTATTTTATAAAGTTTTTTTTTTCATAAGTAGCTCTCAAAATATCTTTAAAATTCTTGAACATTGTTTGAGTTGAAAAGTTGTTTTTAAGTACTCGCACTTCACTGTGGTTCGTTGCAGGTGCCAAGAGTAAGCCTGTGGCTGAACGAGAGTTGACTCCCGAGGAGGTGGATGAGAAGGCCGAGGGTATCTTCCCTCCAGAGCTACTAACTGGTCTGGCCGACTCCAACTGGAAAACTAGGATGGCTGCGGTGGAACAGTTCAACCAGGTAATTTTAGACGCAACCATGATATAGAGCATCAGGGATTATTTATTCATTTAATTGGAGGGAGAAACGTTAATGTTTGCTTGCAAACAAAATTTATGTGCAGTAGAACTCTTCATATCCCTACCACTCAGATTGCTTACATGTTTGCTATTTTATAGCTGTGACAATTCCTTGAATAATATAGGAAAGATGTGTTTAGTTTGCTTTTAAACAACTTGTAACTGCTACGAGTATTAATTGCCTTCAAAAAAGTTTTGTAAGGAAAGGCTAAATGAGGATTTTGAATGGTAGAATAAATAGGAAAGTAGAGAAGCACAGGTCGGCCATTGAACACACAGAAGATACAAGATTTCATCGCCTGGAGGACTTTGTCAGCTTTCTATAAACTAGACAAAGTCACACAGGAGATGAAGTAGTGTGCCTCATGTGTTTTCTGTGTGATCTATGGTCTATCTGTACTACTTCTTGAATTAAAAAGATTAGCCTCTAATCCACCAACATTTACTTCTGTTTCTTCAAGGGCTTTCACTTTTTATCTCCCATAATAGTAAGTTATAAAGACAGGTTTGGAGTAGAAAAAGTAGAGGTTATGTTGTGGATGAAATACCACTTACTTTAATGACCCTTATATTTCTCCTTTAACACATTCATACATACATACATTCATCTTGAAACATTGGAGAAAGTAGTGTGTAAACCGTGATTTAAAGGAGGCCTTATCTTAGTTTGAGTTAAATTGAGTTTGGGGATAATGGGCCTAACTGTCTACTTTTTAAGTCAATGTGGAAAAAATAATATTTCTCTGAGTTTACCTGGTATTTTGCAGTTGTTACCTGCACTGGATCCTGCAGAAGCTACGGCTCAACTTCTGCTGCGACTCATCAACAGGAAGCCCGGTCTCAAAGACACGAACTTCCAGGTGGCCAAACTGAGGTTGGACGCAGTCAAGACCATCGCAGAGCACTTCCCTGTGTCTATGTGAGTGTCCAACATTTGTTGAACTGTAGTGAAAGAATTGCAGATACAAACGAATAATACCAACATAAAAAAAAAATTATTTATTTGGGAGAGGTTCATGTTAGGCCTACCATACTTGTTGGAGATAATCATGGACGTTGCAGTGATCTCGGTAAACAATCACAATATTGCCGAGGGGCACTTGTCAAAAAATTCATAAAATTAGTTACTTCAGTAGGCTTTTAACGAAGTTACACAATAAACATTGCCTAGGTTTGGTCAGGCACTTCCTTAGGGTAATAAGAAATAAATTGGTAAGGTTTGAAACATTACTTGTTAAAGTTTTACAATTTTGTGTTAAAATAAACAGTGTTGTGGTTGGGATCACTTGTAGAGGGTCTAAATCCAGGAAGGTTTTAGACCTTGAGCACACATTTTGCATTTTGTACTTGATGCTGAGGGTGTAAACGGGCAGTAGCAGAAGGTCTAAATCCCGGAAGGTCTTAACTTACAGCCAATGAAGAAAACCTATCCACTGTTACTGTTTTTGACCTTGCGTAATTTATACCTTGGGACCACAACCTATATTTTCTAATTAAATGTTAATAAAATAAGAGTTACTGTGGGTCTAAATCTCAGAAGGTCTAATTAGACCTTTGGCATACAGTTTGCACTTTGGACAGGTAGCAGAATGTCTAAAATGAGAACCTTCCACCACTGTTCGCGTCTTGTCATCTGTAGCGGAAGGTCTAAAACAGTAACATTGGATAAGTTTTCTACATTGACTGTACTATGAAACTCTCCGGGACTTAGACCTTCAGCAACACTCCCTTAGGTTGTATGGATTGTGTTTTACATACCTTGAATAGACAGCAAAAAGTGTCACAACGACTCCCTCCTGTAGATGTTGATGGTACATAAAATTGCTTAGCTTAAAACTCCTAGTTCCCATTCCCACGTAACGTACTTATTGGAATATTCAACGTTGTTGCAGCACTGCTCTAAGCGCTGTAGCGACAGATGTGGCCGAGAAGCTGAGCGACACAAAGACCCAGGCGGCTGCTTGTGACGCTCTCACAGCATTGGCGGAGGCTACCAAGCTGGAACATGTGACAGTACAGGTGCTGGACTACGCCTTCACGCAGAAGAACCCCAAGGTGCAGGTGGAGGTGTTCAACTGGCTTACCACAGCTGTAAAGGAGTTTGGATTCGGGTGAGTCGAACCTGACAAGTAATTAGAATTTTCTTCTTCATGAGGAACTGGTAAAATTGATTTAAATAAATACTTAACCAATATTTGTATTCAACTCTAATAAATTAGAAGATACAACATAACACACAATAGGGCTGAAAATTCAGCAATAGCAAAACACTGTTTGGAAACTGATCACATAGTTATACATGTTTTTAATTTTACGGAGAATAACAATATGTCTAATAACACTTGAAACATGTACAGTAGAACCTTGATAACAAGACTCATGGGGATTTTTAAAAAAGACTTGCTATCAAGGTTAACTTCTTATCGAGGTTTGTAATAACATGTGATTGGGGTAAAATAATTTTAAAAAATTTGAAAATGACACTTGTTATCAAGGGAGACTTGTTATCGAGGGTCTTCTTATCAAGGTTCCACTGTATTTACACTTGTACTCATGTAACACGAGACGATACATACATAAGGTGATAGTGGTGATTGGTTTAGATTGGACACTCCAATCATCATCAGACCTGATAGGTGAATGTTTCACAGTAGCAAACATCAAACATCAACGCTTTATCATTTCCTCTTATAATTTCTTATTTATTTGTGACAGTGTTTAAAACTCCATCGTGTTTTGCAGATTCCAGCCGAAACTCATCATGGACAATGTGAAGAAGGGGGTGACAGCCATCAACCCTGCAGTGCGCAGTGCTGCCATCACCTTTGCAGGTGTCTTGTCCATGTACATGGGCAGTCAACTCATGCTGCATTTTGATGGGGAAAAACCAGCCCTGACGCAACAGATAGCCGCAGAGTGTGACAAGGTTTGTAGTTCCGTTGGTTTAAAATTGGCAAGGCAAGAGTCTATTTGTAATTAGGAATAAAGAAAAACTATTTTACTTAAGCTGGGTTTTATAACACACTCAACAGTTTATACATTACATTAACAGTTCAATGTTACTTTAGAGAAAACGGATAACAAAAGGATAAGGCTGGCAGAGAACGGTGTATTTGTATACTGGAGGGTGAAGCTTCAAGAAGCTTTCACAGCATCCTGATTTGTGATTGGCCCTTGCCTTGTCAACATGAACCATGTTCGAATCTTAACTCTTCAACAAAAACTTTCATCCAAAGTTTTTGCAAAAATGTCTAACTCCCCATGAACCCAAACTAATTGCAGTTCCAGGTTATAGAGAATTGAACTTATACTCTATACCTTTAAAAAAAATAGGTACAACTTTCAAAATACAAGGTTTTTGTTACAGCATGCTAATGAGACGCCACCAATTGCAACGCGAGGGGCCAAGAAGAATGAGCCAGTAGTGGAGACGAGACGCAACAGCGTGGACACAGTGCTGAGTGCGGCTGCGGAGGAGGAAGAAGAACCAGCAGCTGCGGAAGTGACAGGTCCTGTGCGACGAGTGGACATCTCGCCCTTCCTCAACGAAGCCTTCATCAACGAGCTGCAGGACAAGAACTGGAAGGTAGAGAGATCGTAGCTCTTGTTGATTTTGATTTAGAGTAGTGATGGTCGAAGCCATAAATTTTGAATCGTGATATAGGGATGATGTAGCGGAGTATTCAATATTTTGCCACGATCACCGGAGACGATGATGATGTGTACACGACCGCAATAGGTTACACTACTCAAAATGTACGATAACAATATTTAACGCAGCTTTTTCAAATACATCTCCTTGAATTGTACTTAAAAAAATATTTTTGCCAGATTAATTTAGGTGATATCTAAGTCTGATCTACCCCAGTCTAGGAGAGTGTCCACCAGTGTTGGCCGCTAGACTAGTAGACTCCAACACCAAGATAGCAGCAGCAGCAGCCATCACACTGTGTCAGAGCATTGCTGTTACATTACAAGTGTGACTGGCTGTGTAGGTGAGAGCAGAGGCAGTACAGAAGATGCAGAACATGGTGACAGACAGCAAGCTGATCTACCCCAGTCTAGGGGAGTGTCCACCAGTGTTGGCCGCTAGACTAGTAGACTCCAACACCAAGATAGCCGCAGCAGCCATCACACTGTGTCAGAGCATTGCTGTTACATTACATGTGTGTCTGGTTGTGTAGGTGAGAGCTGAGGCAGTACAGAAGATGCAGAACATGGTGACAGACAGCAAGCTGATCTACCCCAGTCTAGGGGAGTGTCCACCAGTGTTGGCCGCTAGACTAGTAGACTCCAACACCAAGATAGCCGCAGCAGCCATCGCACTGTGTCAGAGCATTGCTGTTACATTACATGTGTGTCTGGTTGTGTAGGTGAGAGCAGAGGCAGTACAGAAGATGCAGAACATGGTGACAGACAGCAAGCTGATCTACCCCAGTCTAGGGGAGTGTCCACCAGTGTTGGCCGCTAGACTAGTAGACTCCAACACCAAGATAGCCGCAGCAGCCATCGCACTGTGTCAGAGCATTGCTGTTACATTACAAGTGTGTCTGGTTGTGTAGGTGAGAGCAGAGGCAGTACAGAAGATGCAGAACATGGTGACAGACAGCAAGCTGATCTACTCCAGTCTAGGGGAGTGTCCACCAGTGTTGGCCGCTAGACTGGTAGACTCCAACACCAAGATAGCCGCAGCAGCCATCACACTGTGTCAGAGCATTGCTGTTACATTACAAGTGTGTCTGGTTGTGTAGGTGAGAGCAGAGGCAGTACAGAAGATGCAGAACATGGTGACAGACAGCAAGCTGATCTACCCCAGTCTAGGGGAGTGTCCACCAGTGTTGGCCGCTAGACTGGTAGACTCCAACACTAAGATAGCCGCAGCAGCCATCACACTGTGTCAGAGCATTGCTGTTACATTACATGTGTGTCTGGTTGTGTAGGTGAGAGCTGAGGCAGTACAGAAGATGCAGAACATGGTGACAGAGAGCAAGCTGATCTACCCCAGTCTAGGAGAGTGTCCACCAGTGTTGGCCGCTAGACTGGTAGACTCCAACACCAAGATAGCTGCAGCAGCCATCACACTGTGTCAGAGCATTACTGTTACATTACATGTGTGTCTGGTTGTGTAGGTGAGAGCTGAGGCAGTACAGAAGATGCAGAACATGGTGACAGAGAGCAAGCTGATCTACCCCAGTCTAGGAGAGTGTCCACCAGTGTTGGCAGCTAGACTGGTAGACTCCAACACCAAGATAGCTGCAGCAGCCATCGCACTGTGTCAGAGCATTGCTGTTACATTACATGTGTGTCTGGTTGTGTAGGTGAGAGCAGAGGCAGTACAGAAGATGCAGAACATGGTGACAGACAGCAAGCTGATCTACCCCAGTCTAGGAGAGTGTCCACCAGTGTTGGCCGCTAGACTGGTAGACTCCAACACCAAGATAGCTGCAGCAGCCATCGCGCTGTGTCAGAGCATTGCTGTTACATTACATGTGTGTCTGGTTGTGTAGGTGAGAGCAGAGGCAGTACAGAAGATGCAGAACATGGTGACAGACAGCAAGCTGATCTACCCCAGTCTAGGAGAGTGTCCACCAGTGTTGGCAGCTAGACTGGTAGACTCCAACACCAAGATAGCTGCAGCAGCCATCGCACTGTGTCAGAGCATTGCTGTTACATTACATGTGTGTCTGGTTGTGTAGGTGAGAGCAGAGGCAGTACAGAAGATGCAGAACATGGTGACAGACAGCATGCTGATCTACCCCAGTCTAGGAGAGTGTCCACCAGTGTTGGCCGCTAGACTAGTAGACTCCAACACCAAGATAGCAGCAGCAGCCATCACACTGTGTCAGAGCATTGCTGTTACATTACAAGTGTGACTGGCTGTGTAGGTGAGAGCAGAGGCAGTACAGAAGATGCAGAACATGGTGACAGACAGCAAGCTGATCTACCCCAGTCTAGGGGAGTGTCCACCAGTGTTGGCCGCTAGACTAGTAGACTCCAACACCAAGATAGCAGCAGCAGCCATCACACTGTGTCAGAGCATTGCTGTTACATTACAAGTGTGACTGGCTGTGTAGGTGAGAGCTGAGGCAGTACAGAAGATGCAGAACATGGTGACAGACAGCAAGCTGATCTACCCCAGTCTAGGGGAGTGTCCACCAGTGTTGGCCGCTAGACTGGTAGACTCCAACACCAAGATAGCTGCAGCAGCCATCGCACTGTGTCAGAGCATTGCTGTTACATTACATGTATGTCTGGCTGTGTAGGTGAGAGCAGAGGCAGTACAGAAGATGCAGAACATGGTGACAGAGAGCAAGCTGATCTACCCCAGTCTGGGGGAGTGTCCACCAGTGTTGGCCGCTAGACTGGTAGACTCCAACACCAAGATAGCCGCAGCAGCCATCACACTGTGTCAGAGCATTGCTGTTACATTACAAGTGTGTCTGACTGTGTAGGTGAGAGCAGAGGCAGTACAGAAAATGCAGAACATGGTGACAGAGAGCAAGCTGATCTACCCCAGTCTAGGGGAGTGTCCACCAGTGTTGGCCGCTAGACTGGTAGACTCCAACACCAAGATAGCTGCAGCAGCCATCGCACTGTGTCAGAGCATTGCTGTTACATTACAAGTGTGTCTGGTTGTAGGTGAGAGCAGAGGCAGTACAGAAGATGCAGAACATGGTGACAGACAGCAAGGTGATCTACCCCAGTCTAGGGGAGTGTCCACCAGTGTTGGCCGCTAGACTGGTAGACTCCAACACCAAGATAGCCGCAGCAGCCATCACACTGTGTCAGAGCATTGCTGTTACATTACAAGTGTGTCTGACTGTGTAGGTGAGAGCAGAGGCAGTACAGAAAATGCAGAACATGGTGACAGAGAGCAAGCTGATCTACCCCAGTCTAGGGGAGTGTCCACCAGTGTTGGCCGCTAGACTGGTAGACTCCAACACCAAGATAGCTGCAGCAGCCATCGCACTGTGTCAGAGCATTGCTGTTACATTACAAGTGTGTCTGGTTGTAGGTGAGAGCAGAGGCAGTACAGAAGATGCAGAACATGGTGACAGACAGCAAGGTGATCTACCCCAGTCTAGGGGAGTGTCCACCAGTGTTGGCCGCTAGACTGGTAGACTCCAACACCAAGATAGCTGCAGCAGCCATCGCGCTGTGTCAGAGCATTGCTGTAGCCATGGGGCCGGACTGTAGACAACACATACGAGCGTTCCTGCCAAACTTCCTCGTCGGCATGGGCGACACCAAGGTAAACTGTTATGATAGCTGAAAATGTACAGTTTTTTAGGTATATGTTTCCAATCTTGAGTCTCAAGAAAATATTGTAAAAATCTAAAATTGAATTTGTTTGTAGCTGCCCTGAAAGAAGTACAGTTAGGACATGGAACATGCAAAAGACAAAAACACAATATTTTTCCCCAGGAAGGTTTCCTAAGTGTAGACAAAGACAGAATTATCCATTGCTTTGTCACCAGGAGCTAATCAACAATAGGTTGAGTAAAGTGAGACTAGGATCCACGACCCGCCGTTTCCGAGCCGAGTAAACACAACAGCTGACCGATTCTGATTAGTCTGTAGCCTAAAACAAGTCTACATAATATTTTGAATATTAACAAAGGCAATTTTGTATTCGTTAAGATTAATACATAACCTCAATAAAATGTGTTAGTTCAATCATGGATTGAAATAAATTCATGGACGGACCCTGGTCTTAGTTTCACTTTGCTCAACTTACTGGTGATTAGCTGTTAGTCTCTTTGTCTACTTGAAAAAGTCCCCCAGATGATGAAATGTTGTTTGTTTTATGTGTCATCTTTGTATTCTACTGAGGTGAGATCGCTACTATGCCTTCATTCTAAAAATTTTAATATCAGGCAAGAATCTTTCCTTGATCACTAAGATTGAATAAAAATGTTTGCCACCAAGACTGAGAATTTATAATATATTGAAGTTGAATCATGTCTGTCTTCAGTCCAATGGAAGGTAGCCAAGTTTCGAGTCACACATCCTATAACCAAATCCATCATCTAATTGAATACAGTCTACTTAAATAATTTCTTCGACTGTCAATGACTAATCTGGTAAATCTGTTCTGTCGTGTTGGCAGACGTGGATCAGAACCGCAGCCATATCTTGTGTCAACACGTGGGGAGACCAGTGCGGCTACAGGGAGCTGTTTGACGGAGAGATGATCGCTGATGCCCTCAAATCCGGTTCACCGGCACTGAGAAGTGAATTGTGGGGCTGGCTCGCCGAGAAGCTTCCCAACAGTGAGTTTCAATTTGATCATTTGGACTTTTTCTGTCATACGTCGACCACTATTATAATTTGTAACAATACATGATCCCGATTATGACAACATTACAAATAGTACTACCTAGGCTATGTTTTTAGGAAAAAGCATTTAGCTTGGATTAAATAAATATATAGGATGGAGAGGACACAGCTAACTCACCTGATGAAAGGTTGCAGACGAGTCAAAGAACACATAAAACACACACATACAATACTTGATATTTCGCCTCTTTCAGAGGCTTCTTCAGAAGTAGGCCTAGATGGTAGTTACAAGAACAACAGTTTGAAATAGGATGACACAGGTTATGCATAAACTGCATGTATAAACTGTGTCATCCTATTTTAAACTGTTGTTCTTGTAACTACCATCTAGGCCTACTTCTGAAGAAGCCTCTGAAAGAGGCGAAATATCAAGTATTATATGTGTATGTTTTATGTGTTCTTTGACTCGTCTGCAACCTTTCATCAGGTGAGTTAGCTGTGTCCTCTCCATCCTATATATTTATTTAAATAGTACTACCAAGTTGGGATTTTCCAAGCTATTAGTGCCTTCATTTACCTACCTAGCTATTTTATTGGTTTTTGATATGAGGCAAGCTTTGACCCTGGTGTTCCACGTTGGTCCAGTAGCAGTGTTTCGTTAATAGCAAGTTAACACAAACTTTTTGGCTGTTGCTCGGGAATGTGATAAAAAAAACCTAAACTAACCGACCCCTAAACCGGATTTATAGATAGTTATCAAATTTCAACCTGAAAAAAACATAGTGGTTAGTTTGTATAAACAGAAAGGTTGGAAAATTCTTTTTATTTCCAGAAGATTGGTATTGGGTAGATGTGGCACATAATTACGGTGTCTACATTTTTTTACATACCCCATCTCCCGAGCAAGTCCCATATGGGTTCTAGATTTCCTTAAAGTCCATGTAATTTCAAAACTTCTAATAGTCAACCACATGATATTTTTATGCTGATCAGTGAATGTTTTACGTTCAGAGTTTTAGCTTAAGTAGGGTTAGAGGTTAGAGAGTTGTGTGTTAGCTGGTTCAATTTTTGTGTGAACTGCAATGTTCGATGGTAATTAACCAACGGTTTTTGTAAGGTGACAACAGAGTTTTGTTGAAATACAAAGAACCGGGAATGTCATAAATCAGTAAAGTTTAAACATTTAACCATTCAAGAGTTCTCAGATAGTGTGATTGTTACAGTCAAGTCAGTGCCGAAGGAGGAGATGACAGCGTGTATACCCGTGTTGTTGAACAACCTGGAGGACCGCAACGCAGACGTACGCAAGAACGCGGCTGAGGCTGTGCTAGGAGTGATGATGCACACTGGCTATGGGCCGTTGTCCAACGCTTGTGACAAACTCAAGGTGAAAAATTACTTCACTAATTGTAATTCAAAGGTGAACAATGGCTTCAATCTTGATAGCTTGAGAGAAGATGTATAAAATTTGTTTGCCCAAAATTATATTTGAATAAGTTGTTATATATATAATCAAATTTTAACGGATGGTTCACAAGCATACTGATTGTAATTTTGATTTATATTCTATGATTCTATTACTGATCTATCTTACCTTATCTTATTCTATCTTACCTCTTCTGATTCTATCTCCCGTCGTAATCGTCGGATGGCTTAGTGGACGTAGTGCGCACCTGGTAGTAAGAAGATTGCCTGTTCAATTCCAAGGAAAGTAAAAATCTGTTGGTTTGAAACTGGACCCACATCACCTAGATCTTTGGGCTTTTAACAAATTATCAGAAACAGCTGAGAAAAGCTAGCTGGTAAAGTGGTGCAGGACTTTACTCCCCGAGTTCCTATGTTTGAATCTTGCCAATCACTTGTGTTAATTAAATCTGTCATCCCATTTATTCAACGTTCATCTTCTGATTCTACCTCTAACAACTCAACAACTTGTTACAAACTATTTCTCTTTCAAAACTTCATTGTTCTCTTCTAAAATCATCAAAGATCGCTGCAAATTTTAACTAATACTTTTACAGCCTGGATCCCAAGGACCTGTAAAAGCCATTCTGGAGAAGACGAGAGGCAACTTACCTGAAAAACCTGTCCAGAAATCAAAGTCCGCCTCCAACATCCCTGCGGACAAGAGCAAAGCGAACGCCAAGATGGGTCCAGGATCTACCGCCACGTTTGTCAAGTCTAAACCTAAGGTAAGCGCTTCTACTTAAGTAGTTTGTTGGTCAGTAATTGGTATATCACACATTAAACTACTACGTTTTATACTCTACATATTTTTCACCATCACCTGTAAAATATTTCACAAACAGAAGTCAAAATTCAAATGATTGCTACCCCTCCCGTACACCCGAAGGACATATCCACACAATAGTTAGATGTTGGAAGCAAACATTTCCATGATTCCGTAAACAGACTGGTTGGTGTTTGTTAAGTTACTAGGTGGTTTGCCGGTTTGCTCTATGATCCCACAATCTGCTTAATTGCCGTGACCTTAAATTTGGCATATGCTTCCCACACTAAACACAACATTTTTGTATACAAATGTCTTTCATATTTTCTTTTATGTTTCTTAATGTAGTGTTGTTTTTAGCGAATTTCCCTATAGGGAAGTAGCTATTACCGTAGGTGGCACGGTAAGACCTAGACCCGGGACCGATTTACTTTTTCATTTTGATGTCCCCAGAGGCCAAAAACACTATTCGTTCAAATTTTTATATATGTATATATATATATATATAGACTTATATATATATACGTCCGTGAACGCGATAACTTGAGTAATTTTTGTCCGAAATTTGGTTTAAAGGTGTAAAGCGGGATAAACTTGAATGAGTTCGCGAACCAGCACGATCGGACCATGGGAACGGGGCTTTACGGGGGGTTTTATGGGGTAAAAATTGGTTTTTCTCACTTTTGACCCTCAAAACACAAAATTTCCCAATTTCTCTTTAGACCTTTTTAAAGAGCTTAAAAAAACAAATAATTTAGTATATAAAAGTATTTTTGTTCGATTATTAGTAACGGATAAAATTAAAAAAATTGTAAGTTTAAAATTCCCATGTTATTCTTATGGAGAATATTGTCAAATGTTGTAGTTTGCTTGTTTATGAATATATTTTGATCAAACTTGGCAAATTTATTTATTTTGTACTAAGCTATCAATATTTTACTCAAAAACACACTTTATTAGTTTCCTTGTAGCAGCAAACCTAGGTACTTGTTAAACCTAATGTTATTAAAATATATTTAACTGAAAATCAATTCAGACAAATGGAAATTCGCTTAGTCGGCAGGTTTGCTGCGGCGGGGGTATTTAAAATAAAACACTGTCCAATAAAAATAACGGAGCCAGTTTTATTGTTGTAAAACTCTGTTCTGGTTACGTGTTTCCACCATTTTTATAGACACAGACAATTAGTGGTAGAGTTTCTACATGAGTAAGACCAAAATTTAATTAAGTGTTCAGAAAATTCCATTTTATCCTGCCTTAAAATAAATGAATAACTCTTTTTTACCCACATGAAGATTTCTGTTCCATCCCGACTCCCGAGTAATCTCTTTGACGTATCATGTCAAATAGTTTTTTTAAACCTAGCCATAATTCTGTGCTAAAATAAATAATCACAGCCGCAAATCTCTTTTATATCCCTAACATAGTGTAAAATCCCTGTTTTTGAGATAAAAATCCCGGTATGGGGACTCTGAGTTGCAGATATATCCCTTTTTTTTTGGAGTGAAAAACGTATGTATGCACTAAGAAATAATCTTTTAGGTGTGCTTCATTGACGTGTAGGCCTAAATGTTTACACACCAGAGATTAAACAATTTCTTTCCTCATTTTATAAATTTTTGCCTTTCCTCACAGTTTTTTGTGTCAAATGATTTTAGCCAGTGGGATTTGTACTTCAACATAGCTAGTTTATTTTGATTGGTGTGTCAGTTAATATTAAAGTTGTAAGTGATGTTGTGATGTTGTCAGGCGGGGGCTGCGTCTGCTGTGGCCAAGCCAACGGGGCGCAAGAAGGAGACGGAGGAAGACACTTCCCCTCTCATGGTCAACAACGGACTGAAGAATCAGCGGGCGCTAGACGAACAGAAACTCAAGGTATTAATGAAAGGAACTTTGACTAGTAATGGAACTAAACATCCGATTCCCATGTAAAAGTCTTTGCCAGTAACTATGGGAAGAAAAATAATTTTATACTGAAGCACAACTAAACTTCATTACCATTCATGGTCAGCAACACCATTAGTTTCTGCTGAATATTTCCAACATGTCAATTTTTTATGTCATTCTTTTTGTGTTGTATCCATGTTTTGACAACATTCACTAAACCAGTAATGAAAAATTGTGACGTTAATAAAGTGTTATTCACTTCACTGATGATACCCTTAAGTCCCTTTACCAGTCCTGACAAAAATAATGGACCACTCTTATATAACAAGGAAAATTAGATTTAGAGATTGTTACTCATCATTCATTTTCATACATTTTTCGCTAATGCTTATGTAATTTTTATGTGACAATATCCAATTGGAGCTTTTAGTTATATCTCGGTGACAACATCACCTAACCCAACCAAACATAAAATAGCCTATAAAGAATTGATTGACATTTCAATCTTTCCAATAAATCAAAAACTGTAGTGGTAGGGAATTAACAGAAAAGTTCTGAATTTAAAAATGTGAACATTCTTCTGAAATGTCAAATCAGTGTTACAATAATTGTCTTTGACAGACGCTCAAGTGGAACTTCACCACTCCGAGGGAGGAGTTTGTGGAGCTGTTGAAGGACCAGATGCTCGCTGCGGGGGTCAACAAAGGACTCATAACTAACATGTTCCATGTGGACTTCAAGTATCATCTGCGAGCGATCGACATGCTCAGCGAGGTAAGTGGCAAAATTGACAATTGACTCTTCTCGATCCGAAAGACTTGAGTTGTCATAATTTGTCAGGTCGAATGTTTGTGGTCTTTTGCTCAGCTCAAAATAATCAATTGCGTTTATGGCCTAAGTACTATGCAACGAGTGGGCGGACTTGTTGACTTAAGAAAAAATGTGAGTGCACATAATCAAAATTATTGCAAACTAATCATATAACAAAATAATCTTCACCAAAATTCTTTATGACTCTTGCAATGATCGTTAAGATATGCTCTTTCGAAGTACAAGAATGAGAAGGTGGAAAGAAAGATTGAAGTATCAAATGGAAGATTCTCATGTTGATAGACGATGGTTAAGGTGAAAAAAGTTAGATGGAAGGTTGAAAAGAAGAGTGAAAGGACACATTAGAATAACATTAGGTAATCTTTACTACCTAAATATTAAAGCACTTTGCATAATAAGATTTACTCCGTTCACAAAAAGTAGACAATTTTAGGGGGAAGAAATCTAACCCTGCCCATATCTAACTCCCTTCATCCTATCATTAAAACATAGCTCAAACAGCTGAGATATGTCAAACATCATTCAGCTGCAACATATATATAAATAAAAAAAAAAGTGGTGGGGGAACTTCTCCTGAAACCGCCTAAATTTTGTGAACGGACTATAGTACACAAACACATCCAAAGCGTGAAAATCCTAAAGGAAAAATGTATTTCTTGTCTGGTTTGAAACTCTAAACCTCGTAAATTGTTTCTGTTTTATTTTACAAATCTTGATTGAAAATTTATTCAATAATCCCTGGTTTAACAACATTAATTCATCAATACTATGACTAAAAATTAACTTCAAACAAAAGACAAATTTTTTCTATCTTAACTTCAACGAGTCTCTATCAAATTTGTTCCGCAGGACTTGTCGGCCAACTTGGAAGCGCAGAGAGCCAACCTGGACTTGATCCTCAAGTGGTTGACCATCCGGTTCTTCGACACAAACCCCTCGGTGATCTTGCGAGGTCTGGAGTATCTACAACTACTGTTTGTCAACCTGTACAACGACGGGTACAGCATGATCGACAACGAGGTCTCGTCGTTTGTACCGTATCTGCTTATCAAGGTGAGATTTTGCAACACTAGAGATAAATTGTATCTTGCATCCCTAGGAATTGGGGAAGGGAGGTTTATGGGACATTACTTCATACTTACATTACACTCTCGATTGGCCGTGGATCCTGCTCAACCAACACACTTAACATATTTTTTTAGTAAAACACAAAGAGGTGGATTTTTCTAGTATGAAAACTATAAAATTACTTTTTGTTTGAGTTTGGTCAGAGCTATACTTGACACTATCACGTTAGTGTCAAAACATCGTAATATCAGACTGACAAAAGGCATTGCGAGCTGGTATTGCCTCTGCTATTTTTTATGTTGTGCAGACAGCTCGTCCCACCGTGCACATATTTTGTGCTCGATGGTTCGTCCAGCTTGTCAACAGTTGGCAGCCAATCTAGTTATTGGTGATTTTAATTTTATAGGTTTTGCAGATCTTTCGTAAGTTAAAATAATACTTGTGATCATGTACATGTGTTTCATTATCTAGTTTTATTTTCTTGGTTAAACTTGAACCTCATTTGTTGTTGACTTTGTCATATGCATGTACCTTGCAAATTACGGCAATAAAAAGTTTCTGATTTCTGATTTCATGTATTTATTTGAAAAAAAAAAACACAAATTAATTGCAATTTTGTATTTACTGAAACAAAAACATACAGAAATAATAAAATATTTCTTTTACAAAAAAAATATTTAGACCTAAAAAGACCTTGGATAACCGCTTGCTTTGATAGTTGAAAATGCAATGTACTCACTTACCCAAAAAACTGCTACTTTCAGTTGCTAGATAGATTGTGTAATACTGATTGTATTTAGTAAAACACCTCTTTTAAGGAATTTCCCTATAGGAAAGTAACTACTCTAGCTATTAAGTGGCAAGGTAAGTTTTGGAACCGGGACCAATTTACTTTTTCATTTGATGTCCTCAAAGGCCAAAAACACAATTTGTTTTGCGATAACTCCGATTTTGAGGAAAGTATGGTTCCTTTTTTTGTAAGGGTATAGGCCTTTTCTGTGTGGTGTTGGACTATTCAACTAAGTCTTTATTTATTTTTTGAGAGGTGAAGATACATTTAGGATTACATCAACACAATTTTCTGTTGGTTTGTTTACAGATTATGACTCTCATATTATAACTGTTTGCAGATTGGAGACCCGAAGGACGCAGTTCGTAACAGCGTCAAGATCATTCTCCGTCAGATGTGGCAACTGTCCACTGTGCAGAAGCTGTTCCCGTACCTCATGGAGGGAATACGCTCCAAGAACGCAAGGCAGAGAGCTGGTCAGTAGATGTTAACTATGTAAAATAGCTTCCTAATGAATTGCACACAATGCAGATATAGACTGTATGATGGAACCTGTCTGGGTCCTTAAACCTTTTGTGAGTCCCCAGATAGATGGAGGGTACGGGAGACAGGTTCCGTCATTAATGGTAATCAAAAGCTGAACTATATTCCTTTTCAAAAAAATTTTCATGAAAATGATGAGTTTTTGATAAAGATGAAGTTTATCTATACTCACAACACAATTAAAATTTACTCAATAGTGAAGCTAATACTTGTTTAATGTTGGCAACACTGACAGATTGACATGTTGCAGAGTGTTTGGAGCACATCAGCTTGATGATAGACCAGAACGGATTGTCTGCTTGTGTGCCAAGCGCGTCTGTCGCACTCAAGGAGATCGCTAAGCAGATCTCTGACAGAGACAACTCCGTGCGCAGTGCTGCGCTTAATTGCATCGTGACTGCTTACTACTACGACGAGAGGGCACTCAAGATGGTGGGACATGTAAGGAACAGTTTTGTGCTTTTATAGATAGAAAATTATTAGTACACTACTTGGTGTAGAATACTAATTTGATTCTGCAACGTCACAGAGAAGTAAGTTTCAGAGGAAATACACTCATAGGACAATCGTGCGAATATCCTGTGACGAGCAAGGAAGAGCCCGAACGGTGAGCACTGTGCGGAAATTCCTATCGCACAGGGTGCAGGGTCGTCCTCCACCAGGAGCGTTGCACAAGCTCTAGTGCTACACACCACTTAAGTGTACCACGGAGTGTACACTGTTCCTTACTCCTCTGTGGTAACATGAGAAGTTAATGATTTTAATTTGATACTCACAGTTTTACAATCCGGTTTACCCAACAAAGTTGAGTTTCCTTTCAATATTCTTCATGATAGTGCCAAAACTGCAATATTGACTAGTGTAGTAACCATCAACATATTTCAGCGACATTCCATCGTCAAACACATCAGTTCAGGAAATATATTAAATTCACTTCAGTAGCTTTGATAGTAATACACAACACATACATTAAAGCACAACATATAAATAAATACTTTCTTCTGTTAAAATAAAAAGTTTCTGTTATGTTTATGGTTTGAAATATTTTTGTACGATTCTTTGCAGATATCGGACAAGGAAATGTCACTACTGGAGGAGCGCATCAAACGAGCGTCAAAGAATCGTCCGGTGGCTAACGTGAAGCCACTACCGCAGGCCCCGCCAGCCAGAGCACCTCCCAGGGAGCCTTCACCTGCGCCTGCGTACGATGAGCCTGAGGAGGAGGAAGAAGAAGTCCTTCCTCCGCCACTACCAACTATCCAGAGGTAAATACAGCCACAGTGGTAGATTATGTATCCTGCCATGCTCTCTGTTTTGTAGACAACTATTTTTATTTATTTCAACAGTATTGCAGTGTTTCTGCGTTTTACAATCTAATAGCCTAATCTGTTGCGAACAGATTAAATTTTCCCATGTTAAATTTTGTGTTAGTTTTAGAATCAAAATCTATGATTCATGAATCTCATTTCTATTTTCTTTTTATAAATATTTTCTTTAGTAGTTGAACAGAGAAGTAAGTATTGAAAAGTATTTTTTACTTATATTGCTTGCTCTGTAACCGCATGTGCTTTACCCTGCTTGCTTAGTCCACCTACAGTCGTTGTGAGTCGGTTCTCTCCCTCGGTGGCTACGGAACCGCAAGATTACGAGGAATACCCGAGTTTCGAGAATTCTCAGGACCAGAGGCACCATTACAAGATTCACGACAGCTACGAACTGATGAACATTCACGAAGAGAACGGTACCGTAACTGAGAACGGATACGATTACAACGGTGTTGATGTCGAGGAGTGAGTAGTCGGTGGGGGCAAAGTCGATGTGGTTAATGTTTAACCGTACGGTTATGTTTGTGTGGTTAACCTTTAAATGTTTACGGTTTGGTTATCGGTGGTGTTAGCCATGTGTATTAATTACTTGTGTAAGTAATTACACTAATCTACTGTGTTATACTAAGTGTAAGGAAGGTTTTAAGGATTTCAGCAAGGATAGGCTTAAATGAATCGGAAACAGTCCACCTAAGCACAATAAATAAAAAAATTGTACTCTTTAATAATTTTACATAACAATTTCAATTTTCTGGACTCTTTCCAATTCTGTTTTATATAGTTTAGTTTTATTATTTTATTTTATATATATTTTTTTTTTTACTCAGCTTTATTATTATGCAAATAAGTCTTCAATTTGAGTTTTGATTTTATTTATTGTCACTCATTATGGTTCTGGTATTATAATTGTGAATTAAATGTAGCAGTAATATTGTTCATTTGTTAACACATTTTTGGAAATCACTCCTTCATCTTGTGAACTTTTAAAATTAACAGAAAATAATGACTGGGTCCCTGTTAATAAATATTCAACTATAGTGTTTTGTACATGTTAATAGTTCTAATTTTTAGTGTCTATTTTAGTCATGAATTGTTAAGTAGCCTACTTACTAGAATTTAAAAATATTTAGTATTTGTATGGTATAAATATTGCCAATAAGAGCAATTTAAGTAACTATTTCTTATACTGGGACTTGTTTAATAAACCTAAACTATACAAATAACAGCATCATCAATTTAATACTATTATCCATGTAAACATTTCTTAAGCTCATTAAAAACTACAGTAGACTCCCTCTTATCCAGACACCATTAACCGGACATGGGTTTAACCAGACTAGATCGGCAGGAAGTGGGTGGTACTGAAACGACTGTTCTCGTGGGAAAGATTTGAGACCAGTTATCACGTGTCTAAATACAATGCTCTCCTAGAAATTTAAGTCAAATATCACAGTAAACGGTCAGTTTTAACAAGTTTTGGGGACGTCGGTTTAACCGCAAAGCCCGTTATCCGGACTGGCCTTGATCCCGAGGAGTCCGGATAAGAGGGAGTCTACTGTAGTAATACATGATTTTTCCCCAGATCTTGTAATATTGGTTCAATTCGCCTCTTACTACTTGAGTATGGCATTGGGTAAAGAGCCAAAGCACTATGAGGTTTTATAACAACTTATTAAAATACAAAATATTTTAAAATTGAATCTGTTGTCATGGAAACTACACATATTTTCCAAGTCCAAATCACCAGTTTACACTATTCTCAGGCCTCGTCCAGTGTCGGGACCTTACGGACTTGACCAGGCGCTACTACAAGACATAGAAACACAACCCGTCGTCTGCACTCAGCCGAAGCTGATAGAGTTCGACCTTCACTTCCTCAGGGAGCCCAGCACTATGTAAGTTTTTCTTTCTCATGTTTTCAAATCTTAGACAATTTTTTCAATTAATTTTTTTCTGAAAAGGATGAGGGTTCAGGTAGATAACTTGAGAAAATTAGGGTCCTGGGGATTATAGAAACAGGTAAAATGTAACAAAATCTTAATACTGATGTTTTGTCTTCTAGAGGCAGATCCTCGATATTTTCGGGTCGAGGGTCAGGCAAATTTTGGGCAAAATTCGGTATAGTCACGCAGATCATAACTTTTTGTTTTGTGTCCGCAGAAAGCGTTTGCGAAGATGGTACAAAATTTATGATTTCTCTGCACTCGCTGATGATGTTTATGTTTTTTCCACAATCGTGAGAGACAATGACTGTGTTGCCATGGCCGCTTAAAAAACGTTCTTAATTTGGTTGTGGCCTCGTTAGGCAAACTCAGTTTCACTTCAACTCTAGAATACAGTTTCGCAGTTCTGTGGGTTCACAGTTTTGCTGGTTTTTCTCTGTGATTGGTATTAATACTTTTCATTGCCACCTTATTATTGTTCGAGACCTGAGGGCAAAATTTTTTGACTCAACTATAAGTAGCATAAAAAAAAGTCTGGCATGCAGACCCCTACATAATAAAGGATTTCTTCATAGAATAAATTTGAGAGTAATTTCTCCTATTCAATTTCTCCAGTTATGAGATTTAACTAACATTTCTCTTCTCGTATCCCTCTATGAATTACGTAAGATACCTGTGTGTTAATCCGTTGTTTTATTTCCACAGCATCAACCCGGCCCCAAAGTTAGATCACAGTCTCAGCATGTCTCCGTTGTCTAGAATGCCCAACAGTATGACACTGGAGTGGCATCTGACGCAGATAGGCAACAGGGACCTTGACAGAGCTCTGGACGCCCTGGCTCACATAGAGTCTCTACTCATAAGTGACCAGGTCAGTTTAAAAACTGCAAGCAAGATTCAACTCTTTGGACCTTATAACATTTTGGACATTATGACACTTTCGACCTTTGTGCTACAAGTAATTCTAAGTTCAGACAGAACCTACACTTTGTAATCATTTTAATATAAAGAATCTCCTCTGCATTCTATGCAAAATCTTATTCAATTTGTCATTGTGCCCAATGCACGAATTAATTATTTTTTAGGATTTTTTGAGAGGATAGCAGGCTTACCTGAATGGGAAAGAGTCCAAACTGGCACAGGAAACACAAAACAAAACTTTAAACCTGCTATCCTCTCAAAAAATCCTAAAAAAAAATCTAGGCCCTTGTGCTCTATGCTACACCCTTAACCTCAAACTGAATTAATTATTTTGTACTTTTGGTGCTGCCAATTTCTCCTTTAGGCACAATACATTGAACCATACTCAACACATTGTTCCATTGGTCCAGTCACAAATTTCCCTTATTAGCCCACATTACATATAATGTAATTTTTTGTCATTTTTCTAACGTGTTGGTATGATTGTAGCACACGCAGTTGTACCAACACGAGGATCTTCTGGTGAATCAGCTGGTCAGGCAGCTGGAGTTCCTAAACCAATCCAACCATCCAGAGGTCGTCAACTGCTACAAACGCAATCTGGCGCTCTTCCTCAAGGTAATTACTCTTGATATCCAGGACTCATAAGACACACACATATACATATCACACCCAATCGTCGTGGAGTTCAAGTCCAACGTTTCACGGAACCTAAAAAACCTCCTGCTTCTTCAGGGTTATTTAAAAGTTTATTTACAAGTGGTGCTTAAAGAAGAGCTAGAGCAATTTTTAAATAAGGCCAGAAACGTGAATGACTTATCTACAATAAAAAGTGAACCCACTCCCGTCTCTAACCATCATTCAAGTTAAACTGATCCGGCATTTGTTGTTAGGCGTTTGACCCGCAAGAGGGACAAAAATTTAGTTTTTCACCCTGAATAAGCAAGATGTTTGCAAAACGTCGGTATCTCCAGGACGATTGCTTGTGATGCATGTACAGTATGTGTGTGTGTGTGTGTGTCTTATGACGAGTCCTAGACTTCACTAGACAATAATAAAGGTGAGTGAGGCCCAGAAAAATTATTACAAATGAATAATACCTCGCATAAAAGCATGTAATTTAAAAATTTAATTATGTTTTTGGTTTCACATACGTTGGAGCCTTTGGAGGTTATGGTTTTGTTAAGTGAATGGCTTTTATTCTTACTTGCAAATGGTTTTTGTTCCAGTTTCTCAACAACCATTCAGAGCTGAGCCGTAACGTGAGGGAGTCTACGGTGCGGGAGGCGCTGAGGACGTTGATCATGTTGCTGACTGAGAAGAGGCTGGAGTTTCTGGACCCTGGCACGGACATGTTTGTGAGGGTCGTGAACAACGTCATCATCCGAGTGCTGGACAAGTCTGAGCATACTGCCGTCATATGGTGAGTCTCCTTCGCTAGAGTCAATATCGTTTTTGAAGAAGTTCCGTCAAAATATGTTTTTGCAGAACTCAAAACTGAATTATTCGATCAGAATTTATCAGTTGTTCCGATTGTGTCCTTAGTGTGAGGTCAAGTCCAGATAGACTCTAAAATTAAATCTGTTTTAACACTCTTTGCTAATCACGGTTGATCAAAGGTTTACCTAACCGGTGTTAAAACAATAATAAACATGATGCATATCTTTGAAACTAATTGTCTTAAACTGTATAAAGTTTATTAAATATTTGTTTTAATTCATGTGTCTCTATTCTCTAATAGTGTAAGAATAAAAAAAAATCTTTGCAAATCTAGAAAAACCATAAAAATTTCATTTAAACTGAATCCACAATCTGTACAATGAAACAATATAAAAGGGAAACTAAGCTACAGCTATGAAATCAGAAAGACATTTTACTTAAAAAATATTCTAGTATCATTTACTTTCTTGTGAATCACGTTTGAAACGTATAATTGATTTTCTAAACTAACTACTAACTACCGCCTCCCGTGATCATCTGGACACATCCGTGCGTATCCCTTGTGATAGTGGCAACACCCCAATAAAAAGAAAATCCCTAAATCATTCAAATTAAGTACAAAACTATACTTATTTTCCAATAACTTCCCTTTGGAACTTTGGAAAATATCTAATCAAATTTCATTACATTTACTCTTTTAAAAAATTATTGTAATACCATGTGCAAATGACAGCTGGTGTTACAGCTTAGATTCTTCAAAACCTGTGATTGGTATCCAATTGTACAAGCCAAACGCTAGTTTTTTCTTTGAGATTCAGCGGAATTAAAATTCAGTTTTAACATTGACTACGATAGTTGCTGTTTACTGATCTCTTAAGAGTTCTTGGAGGCTAGCGGCCATCTTGGATGATTTCAAACCGTTCTGCCGAAGAGTTATTTATCGTCAAAAATATTTTTTCAAACACCAAAGTGATTATATTTTAAATATCTAGTAAACTGTGGGTTTAGAAATTTTAAAGTAGTTTTTTTTTTATTGTTTTACGAGTTAGAATGTCTAGGCTCCAAGGACTCTTTAAGAAATATTCATTCCATAACATTCCCATGTTTTCCGCAGTGCTCTTATCAAGAACCTTTACGACACGGTGAACAACCCGGTGTTCAGCACACACTATCAAGAGTTGCTGATGAAGTGTATTTGGAAAGTCATCAAGTTCATCGACAGCTGGGCCGATGAGCTGCAGTACGACCTCATCTTTACAGACATTCACGCTTTTCTCAGGGTCAGTTATAGACGAGATTTTTCAGCTTAATCATATAGGTTTTTTAAGGATTCTTTGTAAGGATAGCGAGCTTACCTGAACAAGAGAAAGCCCGGCATGGCACAAGAAACGTAAAACCTACACACACAAAAAAAGTGGAATGTTTACCTGTCATTGCCATAATTTCTAAGCAAGATAGGTATTAGTTGTGGAGAGAGTGAAGAAAAAATGCTGGTTGAAAATTCTGTGAAATATTCTATTTTTTTGCATATAGTGTTAAAGCTGTTTGTCTTTAATGCCAGATTGTCCTCTTTCCCATTAAGTAAGCATACCATTCTAAAAAAAGAAAATACCAAGACGTTTTGTAGTAAATTTTTGATTATATTACGAATTAAATGTTATGTTTTTAACATTCAACAACCGCTTTTAGCTATTTAATAATGCTGTTGTGCTTCAGTGAACAGTTATTTTCAAGCAAAAATGCAACTTGTTTAACACAGCTCTTTTCGACAGTGATTACATCAGATACTTGAGATGTCATATTTTCTAAGGTTATATACGAATCCTATAGAGCAATTCTGTAGCTTGCGCAGTATTGTAGTTTATTGCTGTGTTAAACTGTATCCAAAAATAGGGAGGCATTTATTTACAGGAAGATCGGTAATTTGCCTAAAGTTGGTTTTTTTAGGGGCAGTGGTCTAATGCAAGAACTTTTAATTTTCCAATTGTTTTCTTGTCTAATCTATCCTTTTCCGATTGTCCAGGATTACCCATCGTCCTGGTGGAAGAAACAGCCAAGCGACACTCCGCTGAGGACTATCAAGACCATCATGCACACAATTGTGAAAGTAAAAGGACCTGTCATCGGCGAGATCGTCAGGAATGTACGAGGAGTCACACCGGACTCGGAGCTGTGGACATACGTGCAAAAACTACTCAAGGTTAACACAAAACATTAACTGAATAGAAGCTCAAGTTTGGCAGCGTTAGTGATTTTGTAAGGCTAAAGTCATTTTGTTATGTATTAAGTGATTGTACTCAATATAACATCAACACTACGCAGTAAGTGACAATGTACTGAATTTAATTCAATAAATACCTAAATAAGTGTCTGGTTCTTGTCTTTTTGTAGACCGAAAATGGTTTACATATGATCAGTAAAATCTAGTGGAATCCGCTAAATCTACCGAGCTTCCTTACGGTGCACATTTTAAAGTTCATAGCACGAGTTTCTTCAAAATGCTCTCAACAAAACTATACTGTAAACATTATATAGGTTTAGGTAGGCACATTGCACAAATTTTGAACAAAAACGCTTCTAGATTTTTTTGGGGAGTTTTGCAAACTGTTGAAGTAGTCGTAAGTGACTTATATGGGAAGGGATTATCATGCTCATACCGTAAACACTTAATTGCCAGCCTTGCATATTATATTTCTCATATTTCTCCCCAAAGCACTGTGGTAATTAACTAATGCATTCCCGCAGCACCTTAAGTGCACCAACGACGACCGGAAGGTGGAGCCTGTGATGGTGGACAGCCAGCCAGACAATCGGGACAGCCACAAGGGTAAACGGATGTCCAAGAACTCCCACGACCTCCTCAGCGAGATCTTCCGCAAGATCGGCACCAAGGACGAAACCAACGAGGTGAGAGCATTTGTTTACACAAGGTGGTAAACTAAATCAAAATTAATTTAAAACTGAAATACGGAGTTCAAATCCCGCCAAATCACCAATGGATTTTATCTAAGTAATAATGCCGTAAGCCCTAGGTCTAGCCTGAAGTAATGTGAAAAACAATTCCGGGCTCGTGCCTAGCGTCCTAGGACAAAAAAAAATATCTTTATTGTGTGTTTCATTGTATGCTTTTTGCACATTAACGAAGCAATTCGAGCAGAATAAATGTCTTTCCTGAAGCGTTTGACAATGCCACACCAAAACATGTAACAATTACCATTGAAAATTATTAAAAATTGCACTTCTGGGAAAACAAAGAATTTTAATACTGATATAACGCTTGTCTATAGAGGGTTTACGCATGTTATCATAGACTGATTAGAATGTAATTTTCAGGGTATCCGCATGCTGTATGAATTTAAACAGCAGTACCCGGATGCGGACATCAATCCTTTCCTACAGAAGTCCTCGCAGTTCTTCCAAGACTACATAGAGCGTGGTCTGAAGAGTATAGATGCGGATAGGAGACTGGCCGGGGTGGACAAGGAGACGGGGAAAGTGGAGGTGGACGATAAGGTACGAACATCCCTTCTAGATCTAAGTTTTTGGATGGGAGAGCAGGATGAAACATTACTAGGTCTTTTACTAACTTACCTAAGAATAATATAAACTAGAGGTTGTCCAATGGTCGAAAACTCGGCCAAAAATATGTCTTCTCTACGTTTCACCCAACTCTGTAAATATAAAATGTGATTGGGATTTCTTCCATTTGTTTAGATTTTTTGTTTACATTTTGTTGTTATTTCGTCACCAGCATGGCAACCCATAAGGCCCATGTTAATTTTTTAAGATTTTAATTCATTTTTTTGTGCTTATTTTTGAGCCTATTTTAATTTATAAAGGGATTCTGCACAGGAAAATTTCTTTCTAAAAGTATGCGTAGATTTTTCCTGCGAGGCACACAAGCTGAGTGAAAAAGGATTTAAATAAACATGCTTCCCTATTAATATATAGATAGGATAGGATAGCATCTAGCTTACCCATGAATAAGTTCAGGTAGGCCAAACAAATATAAGACACTAGACACATAAAACATACAATATTTTAAACACACTGTAATATTGTTTAATATTTTTTACGTATTGCAGAAAAACCTCGTAACATGTTAGTCTATTAAACTCAAACTAAGTTTTAACTTCAGAAACTAGGCTGTGTTTTTAGTTTTGTACGCTATTATATCCGTGTTATCAATTCTAATAGTCCCGTTGTAGGTGCGTAATATGTTTTACGAATTTTTCATGTAATAGCGATTGCCTGCAACTACTTTCTTATGCGAGTTGAATAGGCGTTGGTTCCTTTGAAAAGAGTAAAGAAATCAACTGTTTACCACTCTTCACCGTGCGTTTTCTCACAAGGTGTATTATTTGCAGGACTCGGGGGCGTACCTCCAGCGACTGAGGGTGTGGCAGGCCAAGGCCGGCTGGAACAACGCTCCTCCAGCCGCTACTCGTCCGTCCGCCACGCCTCTCTCACCTTCGCGGCAGGACCTAGACCTGGAGCCGCTACCTATCCGTCAATCTCAGCTGGTCAGTAATTATACTCTACCCTCTACCACTGTGTCAATGTTCTTTAAATATTTTTGTGTTTCTTATAAATTGTTATTATGTGATATAATACTATAAGATAGGTAGCTAGGTGAGTTGACAATATAAAAACTTTCTTAAAGTTGCCGGTGGAATTTTGTAAAAATTAACTTTTTTTGCTAAATAAATTTCTCTTAGTAGTGAAGAAGTAGGTTAAGTTCCGTGGGTGGCACAGAAAGACCTTGACCCGGGACCGATTTGCTTATTCATTTTATGTCCTTGAACCTGATTAGGCTACTTGAGTAATTTTGATTTTATTTGCATGAATGTTAAGTGCTGTATGAGTTTGTGAAACAGTGAGATCGGGTCATCAAAATAGAGTGTTGTGGGGTTTAGAAATTTAAAAAAAGGTTATTACAAAGGTTCACTTGAAGATTCTTATAAAGTTCTTAAAACATAAAAATGGCTGATTTTCATTACAACCATCGTGTAGAGCTTAAAAACAAATAATTTTTGTACAATGAAGCGTTGTTGTAGGATTAAAGACCTGGAGAAATTTTGAAATCTCCATGTTATTCTTACAGAAAAAAGTCAACTGTTGTGGTTTACTTGTTTAAAAACGTATGTATTTTCATCAAATTTGGCATATTTATTTTATTCCATAACTCTTAATGTTGTATGTTGTTGATAATTTCTTAATTATTGTTCAGAGACTTAAAATCTTTACGTCTATGAGATCTTACCTAATACTTATAGGATTTAAATCGGTAGAATTTGAAGTTTTATATTTAAGAATTTTTAACGAGTGTGCTAACACTAAATGTATTCCTAAACCATGTGTTTATTCCAATAAACTAATGATAAGAGTATTTCTCAGGTATAAAGATAATTTATAGTTTAAAGCTGTTCTGACAAGAATATTTGTACAAAGGATACAAGTGGAGAAAGCATAACCGCAGACGACACCGAAGTAGAAGCGTTGCGGAAACGACTCGAGAAAGTAAAAAGTTCCCTCACCAGGTGAAACAACTCGACGGAATCTACGACGGAATTTTGTACATGAACATTAAATATTGTCCGATTGTTAACCTATATTTATTTTATGATCGTAATATACATGTAAAATAGCTTTATACATTGATAATTCTCTGAGCTGTTTAACAAACTAGACTAACCCTGCTTCTTGAAGTGTTTATAGGTTTCGGTTTTACTTGTTATTCTAGTAATGTATGTTTTAAACAAATCCTAAATGTTATTTCCTGGTACAAATTGCGCTGTTGTGTTTAGTAAGAGATTTAGATCTGAAGAATTTGTCTTATTGTTAGAAATAGAGCGATATTGTTACAAGATGCAATTTGATTGAAATTTATGATTCCACTTTGTGCAATTTGAGTTTTGATGTAATCATTCGTCATATGAAAACTTAAAAACTTCTTAAAACAATATTATGATCTCTGTAGTTTTTGAAAATTTATTGTTTAAGCTTTGGCAATTTTTATTTAGTTTGGAATACTGAATTGAAAGTCTGATGGTGGCATTCCAAATTAATTGAATCTAGTCGTTTTATCATTGTATGTTAATTTTTTGTCTTTGTTATAGTATATTAATTACTTATATTATTCTTTGCTTTGGGAATAGCCATGTGGCTGATAAAGTATTCGGAAAGGGACAGGGTTAAGTTAGCTCACCTCATAAAAGTCTTAAGATAGAAATACAAAAAATATTTTGTGTTTTTTTTATTTATATCCTTGGGCTGTTCACTTTTTCAGGAAATCTAGCAAAACTCTGTCCTTCCCGTCCCCGAAAAGTCTCAGTTTTACTCATTGACTATAAAATTTATACATTCTAAAACCTACAGCATAAAGCTTATATAATTTAAGGCTTATAAACTATATATTTACACTATTACAGTACCTATTGAAATTCATAAATTATTTCCAGTTAGGCTATATAATGTTTACGTAATGTTTTATGTCTAAATCTTTAAGGTGTAGTATAAAATTTTGTTAATATGTTTTAAATAAATTTGTTCTTTTGGATCAATGCATCACATTTTCTGCCATGTTTTAATAAAGGTTGGTGAAAAAGTTAAGGTTAAATTTTGTGGAAATCAACCCCTAGCAAGTACTAGAAAAAAAGTCGGCCAGTAATAGCTATGAATTTTCTTCCCATACAAACTGTTTTTTGTTCGTTCATCATCAGTTTGTTGTTTGTTGTTTATCGAGCATATTAGTAGTTTGGTTATCTAAACATTGCACTATCATAGACCACATTGATGTGCCAACTGATGTAGGCTAAATGTTTCATTGTAAATTGTATAGTTTATCCAATTGTATAATTGTTATAATGTGGCAATACCCTCAAATATGTTTCCCATTGTTAAATAAATGCTTTGTCTTCATGACCGGTGCTAGATATTGAGCTTGAGGAGGAAGTTTTTTTGTCGTAGGACGCTATGCTCTATCCTGTGATTGTTTTTCACATTGCTACAGGCTAGGCCTAGTGGGTGTGGTATTATCACTTTTAGAAATTCTTCGGTGATTTGGCGGGATTTGAACTCGGGATTTTAGGTACGAAGTCCCGCTCTCTACCACTAGACTAGCTCGCTCCCCAATGTAGGATACAACGTTTTTTTTTATATTTTGCTTCACAACAAATAATCAAAAGTATATTTTTGTTTGTAGTATAAATGAAAACCTTGACGTTTCGTTGGTTTTTCTAAAGGGAATGTTCAACTGAATTAACTGAGAAAATCAGGGTACATAAAAAGTGACTTAAATCATCGCTGATATTCAGTCCTAGTGTAGGACTTCGACAAATTCTACTTTACTAAATAAGTAGTGTAAATTTCTATGTGAATCGATAAATGTAAATTTTCTGGAGTAAACTAGTTTAACTATATTAATTTCATAAAAAAAGTACATTGTTTACATTTTCTTTTAGAAAATTTTGATTGTTACTTTGGAAGACTTGCAGTTCTCTGTGAGAGTTTATTATATTCTAAAATTTCTTGTCATTTGTGTTATTAGCAGACATTACAAAACAGCTGTTATAAACTTATTCTCTCTGCTGTATTAGAATCTACTAGAGAACCCGTGCGGCTCGATGAGCCGCATAGTATGAAACGCCGAGGAAAACGTTATCCTTAAATTCGAGTTGAGTTGTTTAAACACTTGTTAGAGACTAATTTTAAATATCTCTATTTGCGTCGTCAAGGTTCACCTACTTTATTTCTGCTCTCAGTTTTAACTGACAACTTCTAATGAATGGTAAATGATCTGCTTCAATTCGAGAGTTGGTTAACGTATTTTAACGTGTTGTCTGTCAGTCACAGTAACTTATATGCCCCACATCAGAACGTTCTCACGTTGTTCAGTGGAGTTTCCTCCTATCCCAAAGTTTTGGAAGTATGGATTCATTTGTCGAAATAGGTTGGATAACTCTTGTAGCTATAAGATTTGGATACAAATTTCATTTGATCTTTTTGAACAGCGTATATTATTTGCCTCTCCTGAATAATAAAAATAAACTTGACCGTAACTATACTCGTTGAATAAGTTACATAAACACTAATTCCTTCACTTATGTTTTGTCTAATATTGAAACTTAAACTTTTAATAGCAAATGAGTTTTTGGAACTTCTTAATTTTTACTTGAAATGTCTGGAATGTGTTGGTGAATTCAGTCAAACCAGGCCTCTCATTTACTACTCTCCTCATACGCATAAGATATCATATTACTAATTGTCTCATCCTCCCGTTTTCAATATTTCTTCTTTGAACATAAGGCATTTTCTATTCTTCCAACAACATTGTTTAACTGTTTTACCTACTGAATATTACAAACATTAATATTTACTCCCAAAAAGCTAATAAGTTACGTTTTATAAACAGCTGTTTTTTGTTTTTAAAATTGTTCTATGCATTTCTTATGGAGAAAACCCGACCTTTGAGAGAGCCCTACGCCCTTAGGAGTAGGAATTTAAAAATTATAAAACCTTATTGCAAAACCACATATTGAGACGAATCTTTTGACACCTTAAACGTTGAAATTGGTCCACTAATAAGGGAGGAGTTGCGTTAACAAAAAACGGCTTCACGTATTATATATATAGATACTTTGTAAAATTACCAAAAACAAGTATGTTTTAGCGAATTTCCCTAGAGGGAAGTATCTATTACCGTAGGTCTCATGGTAAGACCTAAGCCCGGGACCGATTTACTTTTTCATTTTGATGTCCCCAGAGGCCAAAAACACCATTCGTTCAAATTTTTATATATCTATATATAGATATATATATATATATATATGTGTCCATCCGCACGATAACTTGAGTAATTTTTGTCCGATTTTGATAAAATTTGGTTTGAAGGTGTAAGGCGGGATAAACTTGAATGAGTTCGCGAACCAGCATGATCGGACTATGGGAACGGGGGTTTATGGGGGGTTTTATGGGGTAAAAATAGGTTTTTCCCATTTTTGACCCTAAAACACAAAATTTCACAATTTCTTTTTAAACCATTTTGTAGAGCTTAAAAAAAACAAATAATTTAGTATATTGAAGCGTTATTATGCGCCTAATTGTTATGGAGAAAATTCAAAAAAATTGTAATTTTAAAATTCCCATGTTATTCTTATGGAGAATAAGTCAACTGTTGTAGTTTGCTTGTTTATGAACATATTTTGATTGATTTTGGAAAATACTTTTATTTCTTACTAAACTATTATCATTTTATAAAAAAATCTTTTTTACCCTCCCTGTTGCAGCAAACCTAAGGTACTTGTTAAACTAATTCTATTTAAATAGAAAATAAATGTGCTATTTTTATGGAGGCATTTTAGTGTAAATCCAATCAGGTCAATGGAAATTCGCTTAGTCTGCAGGTTTGCTGCGGCGGGGGTATTTTACTGTACTACATCAGAAAACAAATTAGTTAAAGGATTTAACTTACAGTATTTCAATTTAGCTTTGTTTGGTAGTACTGTATTATCTTATTTGTGGCACATTTGTATTTAAATACTGTACTAATAGTTTTGGGTGCTCTTAACATCCACTAGGAAAATTCTGAATAAAGTCATGACATTATTGTGATTGTTAGCATGTATCGTTCTGTACCAAAAGTGCCGCAAATGCACTTTCATTATTCCCTTTACTTTTCCTTTGTTTACCTTTTTGTGTAGCTTAAACAATCTGCAGTCAAACCCCTCTAAAATTACTTTTAGGTTATTGCTAAGCTTGTTTCTAATAGTTTTTATTTGTGTAGTTAGAACTAATAGTAAGACTTTTCCTATTTTTCAATAAATTATCGTTTTAAACTGAATGTGGAGGTTTTTTATTTATGATGCCCGTAAGCGCTTTTTATCTTTTACCCTACAGGGATCCAGAGGTAGTTTAAGTAGCCGATTGAAATGGGTAATTAGAAGTGAGGATGAAAATATACTGAAGAGAATTAGGTACAAATAGACAACCACGAGACACTTGCCCGCTGGGAAGACCAAAGTCGTAGTCTTAATTATCCTTTTCACTGTACAGGATTCTTCGAGCATGGCCATACTTTTGTTGCCCCCACTAAACATTAATTTTAATTATCTGGGTAGCCGAGTGGTTATAGTGATTGCCTTCAAATCTGAAGGTCGCTGGTTCGAATCCAAGTGCGATCGTTTTCATACTCAGATGCCATTTGTCATTAGGCTATGAGTTAATGATGCAATCTAAATAAAGGTCGACGTTAGATAGTAACAAGACCAGGGTTTGGACTGTTCACTGGTGTAGCAACTACAGTACCTACATACACAATTTATTGGGTAGTTGTTACACAGCAAAGAACAAATTGAAACTTGTTCTTTGGGTGGGGATTGTTTGAAATATGAAAATTCTAAAACAAGAGTGTCTTGACAATCTTAAAAACCCTCAAATAACAATTTTACACACTAGATCAGAAGATATAACAAATGAGTTTGTCAATGATTCCAGTTTTTGCAAAATGAGTAATTTTTAATAGGAACCGGGCGTCATTTGGGGGGGGGGCAAGCTGGTTCCTGGGCTAGAAGAAAAGATATGTTGTACTAGCTAATAAACAAATATTTTCTTCTATCAAATCCTAAAAAGCACGGCAGACAAAAATCTGCCTATTCTTGTACAGTAATTTGAAACAAAAATATTTTTTTTAGTGTCTCAGTAGCACATTTTGAGTTTACATAAATTAGTAGTTTTGTTATTCATTTACTTTTCTGTTTGGTTCTGTACAATCAACCACTTACTTCAAGTTTATATATACATAAACATGCAGATTTGTTTAGAAGCATTGCTTTTTCATTTAATTTTATGAATTATTCAAGCATTAAAATTGTACATGTGCATTGCATCAATTATACGTAATTTATTTTGAACATTGTAGACTATCAGTGTAATATAGTTAAATAGAACCTTTTGCACTTTTGTGTCAAATTATTTTATTAATAATAAATTTGATTTGCTTTTAAGTACCTACTTAAATAATATTTAAAAACCAAACTGTTATAAGCTAAAGCTATAGGCTATGAATACGACACTGTAATCATGGCTATAGGTCTAAATGTTCTACAAGAGAAATAGGTCATGAATCTAATAACAAACATAATATTAATACATCATGGAACTATTGATCACATTTCTTAGATGGACTAACTTACAATGCAACATATTATTATGTTTCTGTCTGTTGTCAATAATATTGTTAATTTCATTAATTTTCTGCCTGAATTTAAATCAATTTTATTCATATATTTTTTTAAGTGTTTTTGAGCATTAAAATAAGCTTAAACCCCTCTTTTTGTTTCAAAACTGCAACATTTTCCGGTGGAGGACCCCCCCTTTTACTGGGGGGTATTCTATACTCCCCATACCCCCGGTGTTTGCCCCCCCCCAAGGAACACGTCATAAAAAACCAATTTATATTTTCTACGATTGTACCATTAAAAAAAAATACATAAGTTAGGCATACAAAAATACCCAGGGCCGTAGCCAGCTTTAGCAAGCCTCGGTAAAGATATTAGGCCGGACCCCCCCTCCACCACACCTTCCATAAGTATACATAACATATACTTCATAGTATATGTTTGGTGGGGCCCAGCCCGCGAGCCCCGGCAAAACTGTATGGAAGTGGGAAACCCATTCTGAGTACGGCCCTGAAAATACCTGTTGAGTAGCGACAGTGAAGAGGACAAAAGTACCCATTTTAGTCCGAGCTGTGACACCATTGGCATTTTTAAGGAATTGTTTGAAAACTCTATGATTAAGGAATGATCCAAACGGATTGATTAGTAATCGGGGGATGTATAATCAATGGTTTAATTACTTAGTATATTGCCTTATTAATACCTTTTCTGTTCTTTTCTTTTTATTTATACCTTTTCTTTTTTGCCATTTTAACTTCTAACTTTAGAGCAACTAGTTTTTACAGTAGTAGAATATTTTCATGATATATTATTTTATTTTTCTTTTAGTCTGTGATAAAGCTTCCGGTGGAGAAGAGTTCATAAGAAAGATTCCCAATCCCATCATTCCTTCATTCGATAACGCTCATTTTTTTCTTCTTCTTCTTTCTCTCCTTCGTCGTCGGTCTATTCTTTTCTTCTAGAACTCGTGACGTGACTGACGTGAGACTCGTGAGTCGTGGCGTCTACAGCGTAGGGTTAGGAATAGAATTTATCTCCTTACAACATGTCGTGAGTGTTTTATTTATTATTATACTTATTTTAATTTACAATTTTAGATAGCGGTTAATATTTCTACGCGTATTTCAGCTTCATTTTACTTGTAGTAGATTATTGGTCAACGTGAGCATAACTTGCTAGGTTAGGCCTAGGCTATCTTAGGAGATTCTGGTTTTATTTTTATAATACCCCTATCATCCATAAACCTAAATACATATCACACTACGGCAACTTTCACGGCAGTATTTTCACGCTGATGCCCTACTAATTAGCCCCAATTGGCTACACATGGGTTTTGGGTTCATGGGCTGTGCAAATATAGCCTAGTAACTTATTTTGTGCCCCTTAATACAGTAGGCCTAACTTGACAAGTTGGTTGGCTGCTCTTTCCTGTGGCACACGAAGAGTATGCTCATCAAAGCGCTGTTTATAAATTAGCCTAGGCAGAGTACACATTTCTGGTAACTGGACGAAGATTAATTCTGTTGATAAAATAAAACTAAGTATAAATGCGTCAAATTCCAAAAAAAGATGTACAGTTAGGCCTAACTTAGGCCTACAGAAGAAATGGCACTAGAAGTAAAATCATTGACCAAAAGTAACTAAGTTTTACCTCTGATGGGATCCAAACTAAGTACCTTTTGCTCATCAGCCGGGTACTCTATCCACTACACCAACAACACCGACGGGCAGTACATCGTATCGTGATAATGTGTTCCGGGCCCCCACAACTAACTTAACTTAGTGATGTGACGAGTCGAGTATTTTCTTGACTCGAGTCAAACTTGACTCACTACTATGTCAACTCGAGTCAGACTCAACTCGGTATCATCGTGAAACTTCGGCTTCCGTCGGTCGAGTTCGGGTCGACTCGCAATGAGCCAATATGGTTATAGTTTGGCGAGTCGGCTCAACTTGCATTCAGCCAATAGCGTTAACGTTTCACGAGTCAACCTAGTCAACTCGCTAATTCCTGAGTTCGTTAAGGTTCGGCTTTTGCCGTATGAGTTCGGTTTCTTGACTCGCTTTGAGGTTTTGAGCCAATATAGCGATTAAGTTTTGCGAGTCGGACTCGTCACGTTTCGTGTTGTGAAGCTTTGGCAATCTCCATATGAGTTCATACCAACTCGAGACGTGAATTAGATGACTCGAGTCAACTCAACTCGTCACATCACTAACTTACCTACAACCCGGTGACGTCACCGCTGGACGCCTAATCCACAGATAAATTAATGTTACAGTGAGAGGTTTCTGAGGGTAACCACTGCTGTTTTGCTAGCCGTTAATTGCGCTAGTTTTATAATTCAATCTGGTATAAGTGTCATACTAGGCCTATTTTATCGGTTGTAGGTGTAGGGACTGTCGTGAATGTATTGTAGGGTAACTTGATGTGGTTTAGGCTTGAATTTATTGACATGGAATCAGGCTCACGGTTACTAAACTTATATGACAGGCTACACTGTGGGCCCAAGAGGTACTGTAGTTGTGCCCCCCCCCCTCCTCCCTGCCGACATTGACTTGAATTTTAAAACAAAAATAGGCAATTTACAAGAATTGTTAGGCATAGCCTAACTTAATGTGTTTACTTTTGATTGTTATTAAAATTACACGCATATAGGTAACCTAAGTAACTTAAAACTTGGTATAAAGTAAAAACGTAATCCATCAATCAAATATTTGAACTTTTACTTACATATACATTTATATCCAAAGGTAGCCTATATAAAAGCTTTAAAAGTTTGCATAGAAAAATTCGGAAATTAAGTTATGCCATTTATTAGTCAAAGGTTATGCGTATTAAGGTGACCATGGGAACCTATAGGCTAAGTCAAACATTCTTTCACTGTCTTTTAAGGTTTTTTTGCTGCTCTCTTTCTAAAATTCACTGCCACTTGGTTTTTTGCTTATTTTGCATGAAAAGGGTGTGATTTTACAATGTTAATCCTCGAGCTGACGGTCTATTTATGCTGTGGTGGCAATGGCAAGGGTTTTTTAGGGTCACGCAACATTTTTTTTAACACATTTTTAAAAATGAGCCCGTCGAGGGATAAACAAAACTTGTTGAACGTAAATAAAATTATAAGCAATATAACATGGCAGTAACTTTATTCACTAACCAATTTATAATTTGTTTCTCATCCGATTTGATTAAAGGAACTCACATTTGTGAGTGATGAAGAAATTACATAAAAAATTAATATGAAAGGTTACCTACCTAAGTTTTTTAATTGCTCAGAATTGTGATCTGTTAGTTGGTTTAACTTAAGTTACATGGTGGAAAAAAACCTGGGACACCATTAATGCAGAGATGGAATCACAAATCTTAGCATAAAGTTACTGGAAATTAAGTTAAAGTAATGTTAACACATTATTCAGTGGTAGCCTACGCTAAGTTTCCTCCTCAGGGTGATGGCCCATCAGTAGTCAGAAGACAATCTTACAAGGATAGGTTGATACCTAAAATTAAAGATCTTTGTTAGTAAAACTACATAACTTAGGCCTACGTCTATGTCTAATGGTCTATTGTCTGTGGTAAAGTACAATGCTGCAATCCCAAACTGACAACCGAGTCTAAAATGGCAGCCGTTCAAAGATTAAGTTAGAATTTTTCTTTAACCTAATTTCC